AAATTTTATTTTATGTAATTGAATGTTACTAAATAGTACATTCAATATGGGTTTTCAAATTTCAATATACCAACTTTGGGGCTATTCTTATAGGTCTTTCATTGACCTCTAGTCTAAAATATTTTGATATGTTTTCAGAGTTATAACATTTATGGAGTTATATTTATAATTTTTAATGTGATGCCAAATTAGCATAATTTTGCCTACACAATTGATTGTTGAGGGTGTTAAAGTTAAGTTTGTTTCAAAAAGGTAAAGTTTGGTGAAGGGTTATTGAAAGAATTTTTATTGAGTTATTGGGAAGCGAATGAATTTTTCTCTACTATTTACGTCTCATACTATATTACCTTTGTTTAAAGAATTGTATATAATTATATAGAATATTTATAGAATTTTATTTTATAAACGTTGCAATTGCAATGTGCCACATTCGATTTTTTATTAGATTTTATCAAATTATAATATTAAATCATAATTCCTTATATTATTTTTGCAACTAGTAGACCCCACTTCTTCCAATATTTTATTTTTTTCACTCATGCTATTTTTAAAGTTCTTTATTAGTTTTTTATAATTTATATTGTTTCCTCATTCCTCTTCCATTATCTCACAAACCCTCTTATTATGTAACTTCTAATCATACTATTCTTATTTTTTATTTTAAAAACTAAGGGATCATGGGATAAGATAAATAATCTATGATAGGAATAAAAATGATAAATAAATATTGTTGTTATGAAAAATAGTTTAATAACATTTTAAATCCAAATTATGCTTTAGTGGAGAAAATTATGATACATAATCTTCACCCTGAATCTAATTTATAAAATTAATTTTAATTTAATTTTTTAATATTGAATAAAAATAAAAATTATGAGATTTAATAATATTCATTAGGGGTAAAGGTGAAAACTTACTAAATTTTAAGACAAAGTTAATGAGATTTAAGAATTTTTTTAGTTTTAATAAAACATGATAAAAGTGACTTATAAATAGGACTAGAGAGAGTTTTTTTTAGTTATATTTATAAGGCACTTTCAATATATTTTACTAGAATTAAAAAAAATCTTAAAACTTATTAACTCTTTCTAAAAATTTAATAATTTTTTAACTTTACCCCTATTAAATAAACATATTTTGACAATATATTTTCTCTCTACAACATTCAATGGAGATCAAATGGGAATATTTGTGATAAAAATTTAATGAAATAACTTATAAATATAACTAAAAAATTTTCTCTCTATACAAATCAATTTCTATTTTTAAGAGAGACTACAACTTTTTACTTGTTTTTATATAATTGGAATCACATATTTTAATAAGCATTTATTACCCATTTTCTAGAGAAATAATTAATGCATACCTATGTTAATTAACATAGAGTATTTTAATTCAATTTTTTTATTTTCAAACATAATTATTATGGTTAACCAATTTTCATGAATTTTTTGATATAATTTTTTTCTTATATATTGAAACGGAAGGAGTACCTTATAAATAGGATTAGAGGAAGTATAATAATATCCCATTCCATGCACCAATTTAAATGTACTCCACAATAACATTAACATCACTCTCAAATTGCATTAATCCGGCTCTTTCAAGTGTACTGTTATTAAAGTGAATAAAAAAAGAAATTAAAAGAAATAATTAAGTCACACTTATATATATATATATATATATGATTAAAGGAACATTTATTATGAGACAATAGAGATTACAAGAAAAGAGAAAGTAAGTCCTTGAAAATGCCAGATTCTTGGCATAGAGTTAAAAGAGAAAGGATTTTCTTCTCTTCCTTCCTATCCTTTTCCCCTCCTCTTCTTAATTTTAGATAATTTAAATTTGATCTCTTTCAAAACATTTTATTTTGTTTTACTCTTACAGTATTTTTAAATTGTTCTTATTAAATTTTAGTAGTTTGAATTTTATTATTTATATTTTTTATAATTTAATATTTTAATAATAATTTTATAGGAGAACAAATCTAAACTATTTAAATATTAATCTAATGGCTAGAAAGTAAAAAAAAAAAAAATTGGAAGAGGATGGGAAGGAAGAGGAGAGAATCCATGCTCCAAGATAAAAAGTGAGATCCATTTTCCACCTCGTTTTCCTTACTTGTTAGCTTGAAGTTTTTAATGAGTTTTACCGTAAAACATGCGGATTCATTGAAGAACGTATGACGTGTGCGTGCGAGGGTGTGGCTATAATTAGACCAAGAAGGAGTATGACATCGCAACTCATACATACATGCAAGTCAAAGATAGGTGATGGATGTTAGTTGTATTTATCGCAATCTATTTATAATTTCATCAACTAGCAAAACAATTGGATAGCGTCAAGTTATTATTCACATGCTTCGATTTAGACTTTCGGTTCACTGGCTGGCTGCGCTTGTCTTTTTATTATCATCACCATGTCTACACTCAACCAATCCAACAAAAAATCAAAATAACGTGAACATGAGCTTAAATATGAAATCGAGACTTGACACACCCACAGTCCCACTCGTATATGAATTGAAAGAAGAAGATAGCATTTGATATAAAAGACGCTTCCTTAACTGCTCAATCAAATTCTAATTAAGGGTATCATTATTCATTACCATAGTTCAGTTTTTTTTAGGACTAATGCACCATGAAAGGACCTACTGACTCTCTCATTAGCATAATATGGATGAGGGTAGGCCCAATAATATGGCGTCAGGAAAGTGGAAAATGGATAATTGAATAGATACCTATGAGGGGTATCTTTTTTGCAAACACCTTACCTCATTAAATGTTCATGAGCTTGTTACTTGTATTAGATAATTGAGGAAATCTATAACTAATACTTAAAACAATAATGCCGCAAACAAAAGTGAGTTAAGTTGATAAGAATTTAATTAATAACTCATAAAGTTGTAAGTATAAATTTCACTATTGATTTGAGTATTTTGTTAATGAACAATATATAATTATTTCTGTAAGTACCTTTTGAGTTCGAAAATATGTTCTGGCTTGATAAATATCAGAACCTAATTCATTTAAACTTTTACTTTATAACAAAAAGATATGCCTATGTGGATATGTAATCGAAAAATTATAAGCTTAAAGTCAAACAATTCAAAAGATATAAGTTCATGTAATGCCTAAATGAAATCTTTTACATGAAGTTATGCGTATGGAGAATGACAATAAAAGATTCATATCTCGAGCTGGCAGTATTCATCCATCTTCGACTGTATTATGTGTAGTTAATTTGATCGGTTAACAGTGTGCACTGTTGGTATTAGAGAAAATTAATTTCCCTAAGCTTCACTAAAAAAGACAAAATCAAGCAACAGGACCGTCTTATCTTATCGCCTAATCTCAAATGCTGACAACATGAACTCAATCATACAATCTTATCAACGCGAGTTTCAGTTTCTCAGAACAGTTGTAGTGAACTAAAACCTTCGATTTAATTAATAAACGTCAAATCTTGCATTGATTCGAGAACAGCAACTTTACTGGATATACGTTCAATCACATGTAGGAAGGAATAATAAAAGATAATAATGAAAAACGATGCACTAATTTATTACTCCGTCGAGTTCATTGAGGAAACAAAACCAACACTTTCCTGTACAAGAAATAAATTGATCACTCAGTGAGCCTAAAATAAAAGCCTTGATCACTCCTTTACTTGATTTCAACAGGAAATCAATGAAAGGGTCAAGGAGCAATGCAGAACCAGGTGGGAGAAATTTTCTTAATACAGCCCACATGTTTGTGAGGCAGAAATTTCCTCTGATTTCATAATTCAATATAAGATATCCGTCCTGGCTGCTGATAACCCAGTGGCTATGCTTTATGTCCACTTCCTCTGTTTTCTTTAAAACCACTGCTTGCTATATTACTTGTTGCTCTGAGCCTGAGGAATCTGTACTCGTACCAGTTAACATGAATTGAATAATTTTTATTCAGCTTGAGTAGCATATCTTGTACTGATTTGAGTAATTGAAATTCAGGTAAGCAATATATTTTCCTCTGGATCTGCTACTCTGTGTGGCTCATACCAGGATCATAACAAATATCTGATCTGATGATGGCAGGGAAACCGTAATTTACGTCAACTGATGACACAAAATATTTGGAAGAAACCTGATTATCACACTGAAATGCCGCCAAGAGGTCAGAGTTCACATAACACAGAAAGACAATAACTGTGACAATATAATTGATCCAAAGCGGCAAGTGCTCATTCATCATTAGTAGAATAATCTGTTTGCGTGATCCAGGCACTCAAGATCCTCAATAACTTCCTCGAGTGCTGCTGCTGCAGACTAGAATTTGATACCATTGTTGAAAGATAAGTTGCACTGCATAACATTGTCCCCAATAATCTAAGCGATCAGAGAAAAATATGCTTGTTCTTTCATAAGGCTACATATTTCCAGAAGCTCAGTGACAAAGATAAAATGCAACTTAGTATAATTCAGAATATCCAATAATATATAAAAAAGGTATGTTTAACAGCAATTATCAACCTATAACCTATGAATATTCAGGTTCATCTCAAGGAATGAAAATGAAGATGTTTCCTAATACAAACTCCTATGAAAGAAAGACGGATCCATCTTGTATTAAATGTCTCCAAACCAGAGAGAAATATTAACAACGAAGGATTACTTACTTCAGAAAAACCTGCAAGTCAGGACCCGGAAATTGAATCTGAATCATGCTATTGAACAAGAACCGAGAACGTGTCCAAGCAATCGACGACAAGACCCCGGCTTTACCCCAAAAGGAGGCCGTCCCTGCGCGATATATATCATAACGAGCAAGAAGCCACAAGCACGGAAACATTCAAATTCGAAATCCAAGGACCACCTTGGTATTGCGTCTGAGCGCAAAAGGTAAAATACTGAAAACCAGTCGAATTTAACAAAATCAACCCAGTAATGTTCGACAATAAGAAAGATAGGGTGGTCAGACAACTGTGAACTATGGTTTAAAAAAAAAAAAAAAAAATTCTTCAAAAAGCGATGGTTCAAGCGGCTAGGCTGACCAGGCATTGTGAGCTAGAGGAGCGGCAGCCTGTTATCCTTCCACTGTAGAGAGCCGGAGGTGTTCGCTGCTCTGTGAAACCAGCCTCACGCTATACCCCCTCGTCTAGGAATCCCGAGACTCAGGCCTTCGTCTAGGTCCCGCGATTCAGCTCCCGACTTGGAACGGGCAGGCCACAAGTGCGACCTCCAACCCAACCAGGCGAAACCAGAACCGTGTACCATCACCTTAATGCCCCCACTCAGATTACAAGCTCGCGTTACCAAGCTCGGCGGGCAAGTAGATCTGCCAGTTTTTTATATGCAATGATTTGTGTCAGAAGATAGACGATGTGGGACTAATGACTTGTGGTTTCCGTTCATTTCTCCCTCCCACATTTGAAGAAAAGGATACTCTGGAATCGCAAGAAAACTTCGGGATAACATAGAGGACATCAAGAGGCAATATTGAGGGGAATAAAGTCGTACAAAATAAAGAAGTGAATAGAAACATAATGGAGAAAACATCCTCCATCGAACATAAAAACAACGTGGTATGAGAAAAATTGAGTATTCTTCAACTTTATCGAAGTTATTCATTTTTTGAGAGATTTTAGATATACATTTTTAGCTAGGTCTCAGCTCTGACAACATAGATAAATATGGATTGGATTAGACGTATAACCTTCATGACTTTAATTCAGCCCATTACAAGAACCTAAAGCCACGAGAAGTCCCTGTGCACTGGCCATAGATCCAAAGCCAATCAATTGATTTCTTTTAATAAGAAAGCGATTATCGAATTAATTCAAATCCGCCTCCCCCCACAACTTGAAGGCAGAATGATGAATAAAGTTCAACAATACCTCAAAACAATATAAGCAATCATTGCTCAAGAAGTAGGAAGAGATGGTAAAGTTACAGGACATTACAAAATATATCCAAATCCCACGCTTGCATATCCTGACTCATGGCCAGTAGTATAATGTAGCTTATCAACTCTACAAAACTAGGCTTTTATTTTCCAAAACATGGTTCACTGGACGCGCATGCTCCTCAAGGGCTATACCTCTGAATGCAATGCTAAAAACCCTATCAGTCCAACATATCTAACTGCATTTTTTTTCACCTAAATAAATGTCACCCATACATTTCCAACATGAAAACGGAAGTGTCATTAAAAACTACCAACAAATTAATATTAGAAATTGAAAGAGTAGCAGCAAACCATACAATATAAATAAAAAAATCCAAATATTTGATATTTTCCGGAGTAAATATTTTACCCAAACTTCACTATTACAAACCCATATAAGTAAGTAGGAATTTAGTTTGAGAATAACACTACACTCTTTCTTTCTTTTTTTTTTTTTTTTTGGGGGGGGGGAGAGGATTTGCTGCAAACTAGGAAATTTATACCAATGCAAGAGGAACTAGAAGGGAAAAAAGAACGGTTGCCTGTACAAGAAATTTATGGTTTTGATAGTAAAACTAAAAGAAGAACCTTACTCCTGTACTTGATTTCAACAGCAATTCATTTAAATGGTCAAGGTACGTTGCAAAGCCTGGTTGGAGTGATATTTCTAATACCGTCGAATAATCATTCTGAGTCTTCAGTTTCCTCTGGTTTCACAAAAAATTCAATATAAGCTATGCGGCCTGGCTGCTGATAGCCCACGGAATCTACATATGCATGTGAAGAAGGCAATTTGCCAATCGAAACCAGATGCTGAACTTTCAAGAGTCCACCTCTCCCTATGGTTAACTTGCTTCCTCTGTTTTCTTTGATAACACTGCTTGGTATGTTAGTCGTTGTTGCTCTGAGGAACTTGTATTTGTACCTGTTAACATGAATTCAAAGAAATGATTGATATTATGATGGTAGGAAAAACATGATTTACTTCAAGTAGTGATACAAAACTTTACTTGTAAGAAACCCGATGATCACACTGAAATGCTGCCAAGAGATCAGTATTTGCGTAATACATAAGGTCAATCTGCGAGAAGGACAATAAGTGTCACTATACAATTGATCCAGGATGGCAAGTGCTCATTCACTAGTTGAGAACAAAACAAACCTGCAAGTCTCCATGGCCTTCACCTTTTAAGGTAACAGAAGGGGGAACTGGCTGTAGAATGATCTGGATGCTCGAACCGGGCCACTCTAGATCCTCAATAGCTTCCTTCAGTGCTGCAGACTAGATTTTGATACCATAATTGGAAGATAAGTTGCAGTATACAGGAAAGAAATGCTCATTCTTTGACAAGCACACATGTATTGATAAATTCAGAAACAGTATAAAAAATATAACTGGCATCATTAAGTGCATCCAAGAATTTTATTAACAATCACCATTTAGGTTATAAACTGTCTATTGCATTGCTCAAAAGTAATTTATTATTATGTACATGCGAGAGTACCTCATTATAAGATTAACTATTAAAACCTTACTGTTAATTTTATAAAACAAATACAAAATTTGGAAACTTGAGGGATGCAAGGTGCACAAATAAAGCAGTGGTGGCAAGATCCAAAATGTTAAGTAGCATCCAACTGGGACACACTGATATGAGAGCTTTGCAGCATACCTTAACAGTAAATGTCAGAGGGTTTGTTCCAGCAGGTTCAAAATTGTAGTCCCATGGCATTGTGTCAGGAATCCTTGTTCTGATCTCGGCATAAATGCTAGCATCCTGCAAGTCAACTTTCCTAAAACAGCGGAGAAGGTAAATTTCATTCACGGATCTGGTTGCTCCACAAAATTGTGAAGTGTTAGGCTTGTATAACTGAAGAAACTAAAGTAATCAAGCATCGTGTTCAACAAAAATCATGAAAATTGCAGTCTACCAGCTAGACTAAAATGAATGACAGAATCCATCAGAAGCTCTCACTTGATAAAGTATATTTATTTCTTTCCAGGGATTGCTTTGCTTTAGAAAAAAGTTAAACGTTCACTAATTTATCAAATCATAGAAAAGGGCCATGGAACTGTAATTAGCAATCAATAACCAATGAATTTTCATGTCTTATCAGTCCTTTTCATGTCAAGCAATAAAAATGAAGATGTCTACTAATACATATTTTGTCAAGGAATGACGAATCTGTCAACATTATATGCCCCCAAATTAGAGAAACACAAACTATCAACGAAGGCCATATACTTACTTCAGAAGAACCTGCATGTCAGGACCAGGGTATTGAATTTCAATCATGCTTGACTGACCAGGAACCGAGAACGCGTTTAAACAATCCACTAAAATGCCCAAGCTTACTCCAAAACGAGGCCGTCCCTGTGCGTTGTAATCATAACGAGCGAATAGCTGCAAGTACAAACACACCCAAACTCAAATCCCCCATTAATTAGGTAATTACAGCATTAGCAAAAAGGATAAAATACTGAGTGGCAATCGAATTTGACGTGCAAGTTGTGACTAGAACTCCCCAGAGAAATGAAAAAGACCAACCCTATATGTTATAATGATGATATATCAGTGAGAATGCAAATATTACATGTAAAATGGGTACCTCGCGTTTAAGATAGACCTTGGCCTGAAGACAACCACTTTCTTCCACGATCAAAACGATGCCATGTTCAGACAACTCCACCACCGCGTCCTAGATGCGATGACAGTGGTAAGTTAATTGATTCAAAGAGAGAATGTTATAATATTTATAATAGCTTGGGGACCAAATTCCAAGTGGAAAATGAGGATGGAGGTGAGACTGAGAATAAACAACCTGGTGGCGTTTCCAACGAACGGCGCCGAGAGCATCGACCAAGCCTTGAACGTGCTCAAGCTGGCACACCAGGTCATGGGCCTCATCATCCATAGCCGACGAGCTCATTCTTCCTTGCCCCTCCCGCTCGCGCCAGATACCCAGAGAGGCAAAGCGGGAATTCTGAGTGAATGGCTCCTTGACAGATTCTTTATTTATAAGTTTTAATTAAGAAAAATATAGATAAAAAATTCATATCAATTAAAAATTGTTCATTGTGAAAAATGAAATTGATATATATATCTATTTAAATTAATTTTTTATTAATAAATATTTATTTAAATTTTAATAATAATTAATTTAAGTTTTGACAACCATGAATTCTTGATTAATATAAACTTCTTCTAATAATTTTTTATTATTATTGTCCATTTTAATTATATCATTCTACTGGTCCCAAAATAATAATAATTATATTATTATAAGCGAGAAAAATTGGTTAAATTATTGATTTTATTTAAAAATAATAATTTATTCTTATTAAATTTATCATTTTTAATATATTTTTTCATATTATTTTTATTTTTAAAAATTTAACAATCAAAAATTGTGAAAAAGATAAAATTAAAAAATAAATAATAATCTATTCTTTTAATTAAATCTCACCCTCCAATAAAATAATTAAATACTTTTAAACTAATCCTATTTTTTTATATTTATACTTATTAAATACCCTATAATAAATATAAAGTTACTGTTAATAGGAGTACTTTTGAAAAAAAGACAATGATTACACCTCAAAAGACTAAAGATATTTTATATTTTTAAATATCAAACTCTTTAAAAAATACCTTATATTTTTGAATGAAGAAAGTATAAAGTAATTTATAGAAAGTATCACAAATTTTTTTTAGAATGTAATTTAGATTTAACTAAATAACATGAAAAAGTCTCACTTTTTTGGCATAATTTTTCCTGTGTCCCTATAATTCTAAAAAAGTAAGATGTAATTTTTTTAAATAATCTATAATCTACTTCTATCAAGTCAAAGCAATATTTCTAATTTAAATTCATAACTAGACATAGCCCCGTGCATTGCATGGGTGGGCAAATTTAATAAGATGTAAATTCAAGTAATGATATTAGAGTTAAAAAAAAACATAGCCATAATGTATAGTACCTAATCAAGAAGGAAATAACGTATAACTTAACAATAGTTACTGTATGCAGGGAAAAAAAAAAGCTTGATGAGGAAGTCAAGCATTTATTAACAAAGTTCACTATATATGTAGCTCAAAAACAAAGTAAAAAAAAAATAAACCACTTGTAATTTTGCATAGTCGAAATGAAATGCCAACCCAAAAATTTGGAATTGTGTAAAAGATGAATATTATTCATACAATCGTGTTGCACAGGTTGGCTAATCCTTAGCATATAATGTTTATATCACCATGTGCCATGGGTTGGCTAAAAAAAAAAAAAAAAACACACACACACACACACACACACACACACACACAGAGTTATACTATAATATTACTAACTACAGGTTGATTTTCTGATTCTCATGATATTATATGATACACACTACAGGTTGATCTTCTGATTCTCATGATATTATATGATACACACATAAATTTAAGTAATGATAGTATATAGTCCAGACAATTACATCATAATATGTGACAAATGGTTAAGAAGGATAAATAAAGTATTATCTAAATAAAGCTATTGTATTTGGCAAAAAAAAAAGTTTAACAAGGATGTCATTCTTCACTGTATGGTCAACTCAAAAACAATATTTACAAAAAAAATATTGTACATTTATAGCTTAAAGGTTTTAAAAAAATTGTAAGGTTAGAAGTTATGAGAGATTTTCTTGTGCATTATATTAATAGTATTTGACATCTTTTTTTTTTTTGGAAGATGCCAGTTCGAACTCATGTGCTGCAGTTTAGAAACACTCAAGTAAACCACAAAGACACGGAGTAAGTGGCATAGTATTTGACATCTAAATGAGTAAAATTGAACTAAATAGCTAATTATTAATTTATATTTCAAACAATTCAATTCCCACATAAACTTCTAGTATGAATAATCTTTGCAAAAATTTAAATTGACACTATAATGCATGATGCACAATATAACTTGGCCACCAATATAATCCTACCTGACTTGGCCCATAAATAAAAGTAATAAGATAATAGATAGATAGAGGGAAAGGGGCTCTTGCTCAACTCTTCCATCCAAAAAAATAAGTGTATCATACATATTCATACATATGAAAGTGAATTTGGCTCAAGAAAAAATACATGTACAAAACCATTATCCATAGAATAAAATTATTCTCCAAAGATAGACAACTAAATCATAAAATCTAGAATACTGTAAAACAACTCTGCAGAGGCTTGTGACTAACTCATCCTAGAAACCTGCTTAAGCTAATTTATTTATAGGAATAAAAAAATTATTGTAACAGGGAATAAATAGTATAGCCACCATACTCACACAATATCCTCTTAGTCTTTCTCATTTTTCTTTAATGGCTGATAAAAAGTAGCTTGCCTATTTCTATCACCAAACAAAGCTAAAGAGGAACTTTTGTGTTGCAAGTCATGATGTCAATCAAAACAACAAACAAATGTTGGAAAGAACAAACTGAGAGAAGAAAACATATCCAAGTCAAAAAAATTAAGCAAAGTTAATTAGGTGGGTGATTAACTGATTAAGTCACGGTTATGTGTAATTAAAAAAAACTATGATATGTTGGAAATTGACCAACTCGTGAAAGCCGAGAGGATTGACTGGGAGAGACAAGATTCAAGAAGCAGAGACTTCGATTAGGAGAGACAAGATTCAAGAAACAAAGACGTGAGGCGTGAAGGTCTGAAGGAGAGCAAAGTATGGATGAGAATAAGGAGATGAGCAAGACAAAAAAGAAGGAGACGGAGATTCAGACGATCGAGGGAGCTGTGATGGCCGACGAGCTGCGATAAAGAAGAAGGAGAGAAGGAAATCTGAGTAGATTGAAGCGGACAAGAACAAGAGGTGTAACTGTGTGAGACTGTGACTTTGTGAGGTAGAGGAGCAAGGGCGAGGCTAGGGATACGGCATTGGCATGAGGTAGAGGAGCGATGACGACGGCATAAGGCTGAGGGAGAAGTTGCGAGTTGAGAGCTGTGTGAGGCAACGACGTGAGGACTTAGGGTTCACTATGTGAGAGGCTGAAAGCTGTGTCTATGTGAGGATTGAGGCACGCAGCTGAGAGTGAGCTTCGAAAATGCAAACTTCAGCAGTAATTCAGTTTGGACTGGCAAGGTTTTTTTTAAATTAATAATAAAAAGGCAGACATGCTTTATTGTAAACATTAAGTCATTAACATAAGGATAAGGGTGAGGACGTGAGGTTTGGTTTAGACTAGACAAAAAAAATCACATTTTACTTTTACATTATTATTTTATATTACTTAAAAAAATTTAACTGGCCTTGGAGGGCTTACCCGAGCCTAAGCCCTTTTTTACAAGGCTTATCAAGGCCAAGCCCTCAAGCCCGATTACTTTAAAAAAAAAATCAAAGCTCGAACCCTTATTTAAATAGGGCCTCCAGGCCTGGCCCTTATTCTTGACTCTAATGATATAGGCAAAGCAAAAAATTGACATGTAGGTTGCAGATTTCATTGCATAATGCTCAAGATGTCTTTCCATATTACCATCCTTTTAAAAGATATCCCATCAATGGATATATATATATATATATATATATCACCAGCTATAAGCATACATTAGTTTCAATTTAAATAATGACAGAAGGCAACCCAAAATCTACAAGTGAGATGCCCCTGCTAGTACATTGCACTTCTCTGCATAAAAACAAAAACATGTTCAAAAACAACAACTTAAAAAAATATCAAGACACAGGGGAGAAAATTCAATATAATAAATATAAACGTTAGATGCTAATACTCTAACTTACTTTGGTTGGACTCTAGTTGAATAACAAATCCCTCAAGTACAAAAAGATCTTAGCTCTTTATGGAAAGAACCCTCCTACAATTGATGGACACAATGAAATGTATAGATAGAATAAGGAACCACACATTATGATTTATAAAACTCAACTATTTTAATAAGAGCAGGAAACTATAAATTAACTACAAACATTCTTTCTCTTTATCTTTAACTCCGTTTTGTAACAGTACGGAGCCACCCCTTGGGCCTCGACTCGGTACTGGACTCTGGCCCATCACTGGACCAAAGCCGACTTTCCCACAGGTGGTACTGTGGTTATTCCTTACCACTGCCTCTCCAGGGTCTTTTGGAACCTCCCCAGACTCGAACCTCCAACCTCTACCACCTTAATGAAGTTGAGGCGAAGTTTGGTACCATTGAACCATACCACCTGTGGGAAAGTCGGCTTTGGTCCAGTGATGGGCCAGAGTCCAGTACCGAGTCGAGGCCCAAGGGGTGGCTCCGTACTGTTACATAAAGTTGGTTCAATGGTACCAGACTTCGCCTCAACTTCATTAAGGTGGTAGAGGTTGGAGGTTCGAGTCTGGGGAGGTTCCAAAAGACCCTGGAGAGGCAGTGGTGAGGAATAACCACAGTACCACCTGTGGGAAAGTCGGCTTTGGTCCAGTGATGGGCCAGAGTCCAGTACCGAGTCGAGGCCCAAGGGGTGGCTCCGTACTGTTACATAAAAGGCGCCTTTTATGTAACAGCCCTCCTGGGTCACCGCTGCCTCTCCAGGGTCTTTTCCCAGTTGTCCAGCGCCTGGGAAAAGACCCTGGAGAGGCAGTGGTGACCCAGGAGGGCTGTTACACGTTTAGTCTACTGGTTTCAAAGATTATGGATATCCAGCACTAATCTCAACCTGAAAGGGAGAGAAATCATTTATAAGAGGCCATCTGATGCTCCATACAACAAATCAAGTGTTAAACTAGTAAAAAAAAAAGGTTAGAAATTAGAATAAAAAAATGAAGAGAAGAAAGGACAAGGACAATTCAGACAAAGCTAATAAAATAGAGTTGTAATATTTAAGGGTGAAGAAAAGATTCTAATGATGCAATGATGGCTACTCAATTTGAAATTCAAATTCAAACTATTAACAATGAATTGGTCACATGTCAAAAGGAAAGTACTACTGTGAGGATGTGTGTAAAGGGAGTGTCAGTGAAAGTAAGTAATAGACACAATAACAATTTTTTAGGAGCCAAAACGGAATACTACTGTGTAATAGAAAATAACTGATAGATAAAGTATAAAACCTTAATGTCTTATATTCTATCAAATTATATATGGTATGGGGATTGATAAAAATAGCAAGCATATTTCATACTTTAGTGCACAATGCTCGAAGTGTCCTTTTATACCTATATAGTAATAACCATGTCCCATCATACTTAATAAATATGAAACCTTTATCAATACATTGAGTAGCCATAGGTGTAAACCTAATCCTGTAGACTTATATCAATTAATCAAAAGATTATTCATAATATATAGATAACAAAATCACAAAAGCAATGCTTTTTAAGATATGTTTTCACAATGCCTTATAACTCTAAAAAGCTACATGATAGTAAGTCTACTATAAGAGCTCCATACCAAAAGAAACAACATATTAATCATTCACCGTGCCCCTTTTTGACTGATGCATCAAGGGATCGTATTCACTTAATGCCAGTCATACATAATTTTATTTCATTATTTCTTGATCTTTCACCATAAAGTAAAATTAACAATTTCACATTATATTATTAATACTCCTCCTTTATGACCAATTCACTAACGGGTCCTCATGATTTACCTGATTCTTCACATCTTAATTGCAGTAATGGGTTATGGAAAAAAGGGTCATATCATTAAAAAAAGAAGACTGGAGAAGGAAAAAATAGGATAAATAATTGATGAATAATTGAAAAAAGGAAGATAAAAGAGAAAGAAAAACAAAATAAAAGAAGATTAAAACAAACATTATATTTCTTTGTAGAAGGTAGTTAGTGATAGGCTAATTTTTAGACTAAAAAATTTTTAGCTATAAAAGAATATAGATTACATGTAAAGTATATGTGACTTTGGGCAGCTCTTGTGCAAGAGGTATTGTCAATCTAATTGCATTCAATGAGAATTTGATGTTTTGGAAGATGTTAAAATATAAATGAAGTAGTAGTCATAAAGAACAGGTAGATAATGCCTTTAACCTTCTCAAGGAGCTAGCAGCACATTACTGTGTCAAATTACCTTCTTACTATGAGATATGTCCTATCGTATTGACCTTTCCAAAATCCATAACCTTGAGAGTTCTAGGAACTTAGTTACTTTAATGAAATTGAACTTACCATAACCTTCTCAAGGAGCTGGTAGCACATTACTGTGTCAAAGGTTAGTCACAGGTTTCTTATCTTGATTTCAATAGTTTAATCTCATAGAAATCCAAAATTACCATTTGGAGATAATATGAACTCCATTCCTGGCATGGTTTGTAGGTTTGATAAAGCTGTCAAAATGGGTATTAACTCCATATATGTGTATACCAATGTAGGAATAACTTAGTTACAGACTCATAGTGTTACTGCCTTTCTTCGTTGCATAACATATTATTATATCTTCATAAATTTATGTTAGTTTTTGTTTTAGTAGTTCATGGATGTTTATTGCGACTAACCTTTGCTTTGAAGATCTAGTCAACCAAACTTTAGTTGCACTGCTAATAGCAAAAAACTTATGGGAGGAATGGATTACATCAAGTCAGATGTGATAGGACTAAATGGAGAGGAAAAAAGGCAAAAGTTATGTAAATAACTTAGACAAATATAGGAAAAGAGAGCTTTGATCAACCAATCATCCCCTCTCGCAATGGTTCCATTGTTACCCAACAGACAACTAAATAGATATCTAAAAAATTTTTAACTTCACTTGTCATGATAAATCAATATTAATTGTTCAAAATAATTCGATAATTTAAAGCTAATAAAGATGAAAGCAAAAAAATTATTCTAACCATTATAAAATGCAAGCCATTGAAAATTAGATAAGGGTTTAAAACTAAAAAAAGGATAATGCAAATGAGGTCCTATGATTAAGATTGTCTATAAATGAATCAAAACATAAGACAAAAGCTAAAAAAATATATACTGTAGTTTTTGAAATGGATTAATTGCAATTAAATTAAAATATTTCATGTCTAAGTCTGCCATATTGGCATTGTTGCAATAAGAAATGAATCAGAAAATGAGACAAAAGTTATAAGAAAATTATACTCAGGTCTTTGAAATGGATTGATTGCAATTAAATCAAAATATTTCAAATATAAGTTTGCCTTATTGACACTGCTGCAATAAGAAGACATATGGTATAACTAGAAAATAACGATAGTAATGTATAGGAAACCTGTCAGTAATAAAAAATAAAGGATTAAGAATGAATTTGAAATAGTTGATATTTGAGAGATGGACAAAATTCCAATATCTGGAGGCAAAGTCATAAATAGTTGAATTATTTAGATTCCTACTCTTTGTAGTGCTATTATAGAAAAAGCATTCCATGAGATATAACTTAGTATTTTACTTTTTTTGGGACTTTATTGCTACTACCATTCAACAGTTTGAGGGCCACCCAAGGTAGTGTATAGGAAGGCTAAGCATTTGAAAAGGGATCTTCAACTCTTCAACATTCAAACTCCATGTTCTAGCTCCTTTTTCCCCGCACGCAAAGCATCTACCACACAAATAAAAAGAAGATTAAAGAAGAAAAAAATAGGGTAAATAACTGATGATTAAAAGAAAAAAAGAGTTAAAAGAGAAAGAAAACAGAAAATAAAATAAGCCTTAGAACCTGTTGCTGCTCCATGTGGTGTTAGTTCGGTTCTTCTTCTTCTTCTTCATCACCGTTGTGCTTGTGGGGCTGTAAGGAGTCGATGCTTTAAACATAATAAGCATCACCAATCTCATCTTCATTTGTTCTAGGTTGCCGTTATCGAGCTCAATTATTCCTTCTGCATTACCAAGGGAAGCCATTTAAAGCATCTAAAAAAATGAACAATTGATTTTAGACCTTGGTATTAAGGGTGGTCACATACAAAAGTAAAGAAATGCATCCACAGAATAAAAAGGAAGGTTTAGTGCGAAATAATGCCAAGGCAAAGGCATTAAGAGGAGAGGGACAGCTATGGCTGTCGAGGTTGAGTAGGCCTTAATCAATAAAGGAGGAGGGCAAGACCAATGCGCTCATCGGAGGTAGAGAAGATGACATATTGGCATAAAATACTCAAGAGAGGTATTTAGATGAGAGGATCAGATGAATGAAGTAGTTGCACGGTAGATTAGAGGAAAGGCCAACACAAAGAATAGTGATCAAGGATTTTATCTGAACATTTTCTATAAGTAGGTTAGTGAGATAAGCAAAAATTTACACAGACCTCGATAGTATACATGAAACTCGATAATATTATCATCCAATTTTTTAAAAGAATTTAAAAAAACAGTGGGAGTTTTGAAATTGAAAAGAAGAAAGAGGAGAGAGTTTTTTCAAACTTTTCGCACAGAGCAATGTAGCCATAGCTTAATGGCTAGAAGCTGGCACTGTAACTAGAGCCAAGTATTGTTCATAAAGTCATTTAAGTGAGTATGTGTCTAGAGCCAGATTTCAAAAGTGGCTTGTCCCGATTACATTTGTTATTTAGGTTGATAATCAAAAAGGACAAAAAGTGATCCGTAGCCTTTGGCCCCAAAAAGAGGGAGGGCAAAAAAAAAAAAAAAAAAGAAAAACGAAAGGAGAGGAAGGAGGTTGTAATCCATCGTCTGCTCCTCAGTCCATCAGTGGGTAAACCCAGGTCGTATCCTCGGTCCCTCGCCTCTGACCTATAAATCACACATAATCTTCTCCATCCTGTCCTTTAAAACCCCATTTTCTCTGTAAAATCAATAACTTCGTCGATCTATCTCTCTGTCTCTCTCTCTCTCATTTCATTTTTTTCCTTTCTTTTCAAACTCCGACACTGCTCTGAACTATCCCTGCCTCCAACTAGGGTTTAAGTTTCATACCAATGGCTGGCATTGCGTCCCCTTTAAAACGATAGATTTTAGATAGCCATAATTTTTTCACCATTTCTATTCCTTTTCTTTTTTCTGAACTTTAGATTTTTGTCTGTTGGTAAATCAACTCTTGACATGGACGGAGTTAATAACAGCGGCTCCGGCGGCGGCACACAGACGCCAGCTCCGGCTCCCATTCCTAATACCAACGCGCCCCCGCCGTTTCTTAGCAAGACATATGACATGGTGGATGACCCGTCCAGTGACGCGATCGTTTCTTGGAGCTCAACCAACAATAGCTTTGTTGTTTGGAACCCTCCTGAGTTTGCCAGGGACCTCTTGCCAAAGTACTTTAAGCACAATAACTTCTCCAGCTTTGTTAGGCAGTTGAATACATATGTACGCTTTCCTTTCTCTTTAGCTCTCATTTTGATTTTCACGTCGTCGTCGTTATCTATGAGTGATTAGACAGCCTCAGTTTTTTCCCTGTGGCAGTGTTATTTTTTGCGCTAATAACCTTATGGATGTTAGAATTGATCGTGAGAATGAGGGAGACGAAATTAAACATGGAATATTTATTTAATTTGAATGTTTTCGGTTGATGCCATGAATTATGATTTATAATTACGTTATCTGAGATTAGTGTGACTGTATTATTGATGAGCGAGAAGGAGTGACATTTTTCTTCTCCTCCCTTTGTTTTTGGGTGTTATACGAATCCTATTGTCTCTTCTATCACCCTGATTCATATACAGATAATGTAGGCAGTGGACTGAGGCCCTTATCCAATAGATTATGTAGTTGCTTCAGACTTCAACTAAGTCTCAGAGCTGGGACAGGATGCATTATTTTGTTTATATATATACGATATAGCCTATGAGATTTCAATTTGATATGTGTTCCTCCTGTATTTTCTCAGCAACTATATGAATCAGAAGAGGGAAATTTCGCAGAGAAAGCAATTCTCAGGTTTATCAGTTACTTAATTGCAAGTTTATTCCTGTATCATATTTAAAAGGCCATTGCACATACGATATAACTGAATTGATGAGACATATATCAAAATTCAAACTCCTTGAAGAGAGTTTTGGGGTCTCTAGATATTCTCTTATGGGTTGCTATTATATTCAGCAAGAATTCACCGATATGTTTTTGTACTATAATATTGGTCCGCTATTATGACCTATTTCTTTGCAAAACATAAGTAATTGAAAGGTGCAGTTAAATATTCACATGACCCATGAGCTATTGATTTTAGTTCTGCTTTTGCTAGGATGAGATGAGGATTATATAAGCTTTTTTATATGAAGGATTGTTTTTGTCAACTTGCTTTTCTATCTGGTGGAGGCACAAGGCCTAGGATTCATTATAAAAAGAAAAAAAACTATGTAGCTGCTGCCAATCATTACATGGAGGTAGATGATTGTTTACACTTCACATCATAAAAATGTTGTGGAATAGATATCAATCTCAATTGAAAAGGAAGGAATGTAGGGACATGGGGGCAAGGGAAGTAGAGGAACAAATTGTAGAGAAACCTTAGCAGCCTATATGGAGCTGTCCTTGAATTCAATCGTTGGGCTAGCAGGTCATAAAACAATGAAGTTATTGTGAAATGTGATGGACCCATAGCTATTGGACTATGATGGGTAAGAATGTTCTGGACTGACAGAAATTAGAGAGGTGTAGGGAAAGATGAGGGAAGAACAGTGAAGGTAGCTAGAAGCAGAGAGGAATGAGGGAGATTTAGGAGAAGAGATTGAGAGAATTTGAGGGACATAAGGAGTATTCTTTTATTGGTCACCGAAGATAAGATTACATCTCAAATGCTTCAGGATATATAGGCTTTAAGTCATTCCCTCCTAATGGCTATTTTTTAACTAACCAACTGTTTAAATGAAACACACATGAAACATGCATCAACCCCTAAAATTATAACTAATCATGTCATAATTATAAATCTATAACAGACTATGAGCGTTCAAGGCTTATGAAAGAAAGGATAGCACAAGAGTGACAAGGGGGCCAAGTTGGGTTTAACTGCTGATGAGGAGGCTAGGGGGAAAAAGAAGGAGAACAGGTTGTTGTTACTAACCAATCATACATAGAATGCTGTGTAGGTGACAGATTAGTGATTAGACAACCTCTGAATTCTATATGTGTTGATCCAGTGATATATGATTTATAATTTCATACGTTAGTTGAGGAGAGTGTGGCTGTATATCAAGGAGGGAGGAGTGGCTCTTTTTTCTCCGTTCATTTTTGGTATTTCATAAATCAGTACTTCTCTTTTATCATCTTGGTTCATTTCCAGCTGAAAATATAGTAGCCTCAAGCCCTCAACCAATAGATTTTTGTAGTTGCTTCAGACTTAAACTAAGTCACAGCTGGGACAGGATGTCTTATTTTTATTTCTATACATCAAATAGCATGTGTGATTTCAATTTGATATCTATTCCTCTTGCTTTTTCTCATTAAGTAGAGAGGTTGGAAGAGGGAAGTTTGACAAAGTAAGCTGTGCTCAGGTTTATCAATTACTTAATTGCATTTTGTTCCTGTATTATATTTAAATAAATAGTCACTGAACATTTTATAAGCATGATTAGAAGGGAGACATATTTCAAAATTCAAATTGCTTTAATAAGGTTTTAGAGTCTCTAGCAAAGATTCTCTAATAAATTGCTCTGTTACCCCGCTTGAACTTACAGATACGTTATTGTAAAATGATATTGGTTTTGTGTTGGGAATTCAAAGCTGAAATTAATTATTTATGTGACACGCAAACTGAACTTTTTATTTTAGTTCTCCATTACCAGGATTGGATTACATATTGTATAATCATGTAAGTTCTGATGCTTTGAATAAGAAAATTAATTCAACTTGCTTTTCTAGCTAGTGAAGACACAAGGTTTAGGGTTCATAGAAAATGGCATAGCAGCTCTATCAATCTGATGTGTAGTTGTAGAAAGAAAGAGAGAAAGAGAGGGGAAAAAGAGAGAAGAAACTGAGAAATGGAAACCGAATATGAATTCAATAATCTCAAGTCTGAAAGATAAGTACAATATTGCCTCTTATTTATAGGTATAAGATCTATCCTAATCCTATTCAAACTCTACTAATATAATAATATAATTAAATATCAAACTTTATCTAACCCTATCATAAATCATAAATCTCATCTAAATCCAAATATTCTAAAATAAATAGATATCCTAATCTTGTCAAATAATAAATCATATCTAAATCTATTTAAATAATCTAAAATAATCTAAATCTATTTAAATCCTAACTAATTATTAATTACATAACAATCCCCCCCCACCCCTTCAAAAAACCTTGACCTCAAGGGTCTGAATGCTGAAAGAAGGATGCTGTTTCTGCAATATCCCATTGGCTTCTTGATCCAGAAGACCCTTTCAGTGCTCCAAGACTTCCCTAAACTTCTGACATCTGCCTAGTATCATTTGCGATCACTTTGCCAGGGTCAAGATGAAGTTCAATGAGTTGCAATTGCATTTTCTGCTTCTGAGGACAGCTGTGACCTTTGAAGAACGGCTGATGGCAATAAAAACAGAGGTTCTTGGCTCAAAACTCATCAACTTCTTAGAGGCTCAATCGTTTGGTGATTTTCAGATTAGGTTTTGGAGAGGACCCTTTGGACAAAGGAACAGAGGAAACTGAACCATATTTTGAAGAAGAATGAAAGTCAGGAGAATGGACATTTGTACCTTCACTCTAGTCATTGTGGGTTTTGCTAAAAAGAGCCAAATTTGACACCTTCTGCAACGTGCTCGCCTCATTAACCTTCTGAATATGGATATCATGCAGTTTCACAATGGCTCGAGCTTCTTGGAGGGTGGATGGCTTCAAGATCCGAACTTGGCCTGCGAATTCCTCTTCTAATCTTGAGATATATGACTGAACAAAGTAGTCCTCTGCCAATTGGAGTTTGTAAATAATTGCATTGAGGGCATTGTTATGAGCATCTATTGAGCCTAACTGGCGCAACTTCATTAAATCACCCATTGGGGTTTCGAATGGTGGCCCAAAACGTGTCTTTGAGGCTTCAATGTAACCAGCCAATGTGGTTGCACCCCCTTTAGTTGTTTGCTCCCACGGTTGGTGCCATTGAAAAGCCCCTTCATCAAGATGTAGGCTTGCCATGGTAATCTTCCACTCCTTTGGGGTCTCATCAAGTTGAAAATACCTTTTGCAATTGACAATCCAGCCCACGACATCCACACGCTGAAAATGATGGGACTCCATTCTTGTAAATCATGTGGGAGGTTGGTAGGCTCTTGTATAACCATGTCTATTGTTGTTGCTTCCTTTGCTTCTTCCAGCCGAATCGCCTTTGTCACGACTCAGCTATGCAACCTAGGCTGACAACACTTGTAAAATTCCAGATAAAGAAGAAAACTTTTGTAACTCTTCTTTGATAGCCCTGAAACGTTCTTCAAATTGTTCGGCCATATTTTGGTGATTGCTCTTGGAACTAGTCTTGAACATGAATGCTAGTCGGGGATTGCTTGGCTCTTATACCACTGATGTGTAGCTGTAGAAAGAAAGAGAGAAAGAGGGGAAAAAGAGAGAAGAAACCAAAAAATAGAAACTGAATATGAATTCAATAAGCTCATGTCTGAAAAATATGTACAATATTGCCTCTTATTTAGAGGCATAAGATCTATCCTAATCATATTCAAACTCTACCAATATAATAATTTAATTAAATATCAAACTTTATCTAACCCTATCATAAATCATAAATCTCATCTAAATCCCAAATATTCTAAAATAAATAGATATTCTAGTCTTATCAAATAATAAATCATATCTAAATCCATGTAAATAATCTAAATCTATTTAAATCCTAACTAATTATTAATTACGTAGCACAATCATTGAATGGAGGAAGATTGTTTACATTTTTGCATTTGGTGGAATAGATCACCTGCCTCAGTGGCATAGAACTGCATTATTTAGCATGAAGACATCCTATTTCCATTCGAACTAGAGGAATTAGTGGGATTATGTATTTTGGCAACGGCGTTTTCATGCTGAATTAACCATAACTATTTTTATTAAAACGCAGGGTGTGAGGGCTCCATTCACTGCTGTCTTGCATGAATCAAGGCTAGCTATTTATGAGCTTGCTATATTAGCAATTCAGCTCTGCTGAATAACTATCTCACTCTTCTAGCTCACCCCTTTACGTCCTCTGTGATAATCTGTTACTGTGCCCAATTCCCTTTAGAATCCTCTAGCCACTATAGTAGTGGATAATGCAGCCTTTGCGCTTGTACTGTATTTTGTCTTCATTCTCTTGCTATTGCCCTTTAACATCCTAGGCCCAAAGTCTATAAATGCATCACATTCTATCTGTCAGTTTGTAATTTAAGTATGCATCTACTTTCATGTTTGTATATACTGACTGAAAAGTTTTGCTGTTTCATTGAACTTTTGATTTACCTCCTTCCTATTTCTTTTTTCTATTGTCAACATAATTAAACAGGGTTTCAGGAAGGTCGATCCAGATCGGTGGGAATTTGCAAATGAGGGCTTTTTGAGGGGTCAGAAGCACTTGCTTAAGAGTATAACCCGGCGAAAACCTGCCCATGGTCATGGTCATGGTCATCAACAGGCACAACAATCTCATGGGCAGAGTTCATCTGTAGGGCCATGTGTAGAGGTTGGGAAGTTTGGTCTAGAGGAAGAGGTTGAAATGCTCAAAAGAGATAAGAATGTGCTCATGCAGGAGCTTGTGAGGTTGAGACAGCAGCAACAGGCCACTGATAACCAGATGCAACAAATGGTTCAGCGCGTTCAGGGAATGGAACAACGTCAGCAGCAAATGATGTCATTCCTTGCAAAGGCTGTCCAGAGCCCTGGCTTCTTGACTCAGTTTGTACAACAGCAAAACGAGAGCAATAGGCGTATAACTGAAGCCAGCAAAAAACGACGGCTTAAGCGGGAAGGTATTGCTGAAACAGAGTGTGCTACTGCTTCTGATGGACAAATTGTTAAGTATCAACCTTTGATGAATGAAGCTGCTAAAGCAATGCTAAGGCAGATCATGAAATTGGATACCCCTTGGCTAGAATCTTTCAATAATAACTCAGATAATTATTTGATTGGCGATGGCTCAACATCGTCAGGGGCAATGGACAGTGGCAGTACTTCAAACCGTAGCTGTGGAGTAACCCTTCAAGAGGTCCCCCCACCTTCAGTGAATGCTCCCTCAGCTGGAAAATCTGAAAAGCAATCTTCTCTAGAGTCTGCAGCTTCTGGAAAAGTTACGGCTGCTCAATATCCTGATGTAAATGTGCTAGTTGGTGCATCTGAGAAACCTTCTGACCCTATTTCTGAGGTGGATATCATGCCTGAGCTTTCTCCAATACACGAGATGGTGACGGGAACTATTCTTGATATTCCTGAAGAGAATTATATTGGACCTGAAACAGGAAATGAGGGATTCATGGATCCTAATTTGTTGGGGGTAAACGGGTCGATGCCCATTGATATTGGTAGTATTTCACCTGATACAGACATTGATGACTTGCTACGAAACTCTTCTTTTTGGGATGACTTGGTGCAAAGTCCACTGCCCGAGGATATTGAGATTGATGCTGCTGAAGTGTCCAAGGGAAATGAGGGGCAGCCAGTGGAAAATGGATGGGACAAAGCGGAACATATGGATCAACTTACAGAGCAGATGGGTCTTCTTTCTTCTGAAACAAAGAGAGTTTGATTGGCCACCTATTAAATGTAGAATAATCTGTCATGTTTTTCAAGGTATCCCCTGGCTCAAACAACACAGAACTGATGTCTAATGTATAACTTTTTAACAAAAGGAAAAGATGTCTAAAATATAATCGTATCGCGGTTCGCGCATTGGAAAAGCAGCTAATGATTTGTCTTTGGTCTTTTTGGGTCTAGTTTGTGCATACGAGACCCTAGTCTAATTTTCTTGTTTAGATTTACATACGTATATCTTTTGACTTCATGTTGAATCTATAAGTTATGATCTCATGGTAGCATCAGATGCTGTAAGTTCGGCCTATGATTCTTTTGTACTGGTTCATTTGTTGTCCAGGGATAAACAGCCATTAAAAAAAAAAAAAGGAACAACTCGTCAAAGTTCTCTGCAACTTCATTTGTCCTCTAATATGCCCTAGCCCTTGCTTTTGGCTGCCTTGTTTTGCAATGCCTCTTTATTCATGTTCTATTTATTTATTTTAAAATCAGCATCCTTTATTTCCTAAGTATGTCTAAAGGGTACATGGAAGTCTTCAGAATTTCATGAACTAGATATGTTTGATGATAGTCTGGGGTATTCTGTTATTTGAAAACCAATCGGATATTTTCTTCAAAAAAGACTACAAAAAAAAAAACCGTTTTTTAAAGGGGGCATGTCTTTGGACAACCTGGTTGTGGATCCAACTCTGGTGATTATTATTGATTAGCAGTGGTGTGGTCCATATTGCTGAATTACCCATCTGTGTTTGTTTGACGTAAAGAAGATCTATATTTTGAATCCAAGGACTTTCAAGAAAATGACTTACATTTGAAAGTAGTATATAGTTTTTAGATTCTTTCACTCACAAGTATGTTGGGGAAAACAAAAAGGAAAAATGAAACACGTTGGTTAAAATAGGTTAACTGCTTGAGAGTACTAGAACAAGGATAAATTTGGTTCATTACATTTGCTCAAATTTTGATATAAGTCTCTCTATATATATTTTTTTAATATTATAAGTCTTTATATATATTTTTTAATTTTCTAGATCTTTTCATGAACAGTGTTATAAACTGAAAAAAAGTAAAAGGGTCTAAAACACTAAAAAAGTTGTAGGTACCTATAACAAAAGTTAAACAAAGTATAGAAATTTAAAATTATATTTGTATTTATTTTAGGTTTATTTCAAGTTTCTTAAGCGATAATTTATGCATGTGGTTTTTCTTTTTATTTTAGATTGTGATCGGAATAATTAAATGCAAGGATTCTCGCTAACTTTGAGCGTTGCTCCATTGCATGCCCAACAATTTTCTTCACAAATCCCCATCATATCACTATCAATCTTGATATGATAAATCAATAAATCATCCCTAAAGATCCTAATTCAAGAAAAAAAAATCTTAAAAATTGTATTTTTCTTAAAATTTGATAACAAATTATAATATTTCTATGTAACTATAATTGTCAAGTATATTTACAATAAACCATTTGATGCTAACTTCCCCTCGATGTCCGATGTTTTTGCAAATATACAATTTTCATTCATCTATATGCACAGATGATCTTTCTTCTTTCTAGCCATAAAAAAAGACACACAAGTTCCCACAGAAGCCACGTAATTCAGGCTGTAGCTATTAATGGTAAGGTAATTAAATTAAAAAAAACTAAAAAGAAATGGAGAGTAACAAATGGCAGAAAAAGCACACACCTGCGCCACAGAACAAACTACAATCACAGCCACTTAGCTCAGAAATCACCACCAAATCCTCACCTGCCCAACTATTTCGGAATGATCATAAACACTACTCACTCAAGAATGTGTGTCTCTTAAACCCCACTTTGATTTGTTTCCTATTTTTATAACCTCACAAGTACAAACAGACATGACAGAGAAACGCACTGGTTTCATTTTCCGAGTGCAGGTGTAAATGACATTGGTAAGAGAGAGGAGGCACCAGGAAGCTCTAAGGCTTTCCTTACCATCACATCCCATCCCAGAAACTGATTACTGTCATCAAATCCAAATCCCAGCCTCCAATGGGAACTCTCTGGCCATCAAGAACCTTTTGAGCCTCGAGAAACTCACAGTTCTCGGCCATGGCAATGGTGGTACAGTGTATAAAGTCCATCACAAGAAGAACCAAACCTTCTATGCTTTGAAAGTCCTCAGGTGCAACCAGAATGCTCTTGAAATCTTTCAGCAGGCTAAACGTGAGGCAGAGATTCTCGTGAGGCAAGAGTGGATTCCCCATATATTGTGAGGTGTCATGCAGTTTTTGACAATAATTGCAGTGAATCTCATGTAAATGGAGGTGGCGGCATTAGCTTTGTCATGGAATACATGGAAAGAGGGTCATTACATGATGTGTTGAGAGAACACGAAGCACTACCAGAGGAAGTGATCTCTGTCTTGGCAAAGAGGGTTTTGGAAGGACTCAACTATTTGCACGGCATGAACATAGTGCACAGAGATATCAAACCTTCAAATTTGCTTGTGAATGACAAAGGGGAGGTGAAGATTGCAGATTTTGGAGTGAGTCATGTGGTAGAAGGAAGGTTTGAAGCATCAGATTGTAATGCAGGCACATGTGCTTACATGAGCCCAGAAAGAGTTGATCCTGAGAGATGGGGTGGTGAAAATGCAGATGGTTTTGCTGGTGATGTGTGGTCAGTGGGAGTGCTGATGCTAGAATGTCTTCAGGGTCACTTCCCTTTTACTGATGCAGGTCAAAAACCAGACTGGGTCACGTTGATGTGTGTGATTTGCTCTGGTGAGAAGCTTGAAATGCCAGAGAAGGCATCAGCTGAGTTCAAAAGCTTCGTGCAGAGATGTTTAGAGAAGGATTGGAGGAAAAGAGCAACAGTACGTGAGCTTCTTGATCACCCTTTTGTGAACACCAAGTTCTGCCCTTCTGGCAAAGGACTGCTCAATTATCTTCTGCATCGTTGAAGTACATTGCTGGAGTCTTCTTTCCATTTTCAAATAATCTTCAATGATATTTTGGGTTGGGTTTAGGAAGAAGAAAGATGAAAACTTTTGTCTCAAGTTAGAGATTAGGAGGTTGATAATCGTTTATTTCCCGACATGATCATGAAATAAACGGAATCCTTCGATTAAAAATTTAACGTTCTATGATAAGAACTGAGTACTCATAATTGTGAAAATTAGAACGACATGCCTCTACACGCAATTTGATGGAACACATTTCGATAATCTCAGTCCACCTTTTAATAAATTTCACAGATTATATTGGGTTAACCAAAATTTATTGAGGGATGAAGCTGAAACACATTTCAGGATCCCTTCTTCATTAGCATGCAGATTTTCTTCAATACCTTTAGGCCTTGGATGATACGATGAAAGAGTTTTTGATTAAATTAAAATCGGAATTGAAATTAAAATAGAATTAAATTTAAAAAATGTGTTTAGTATGAAGATGAAATCCTAATTTAATATTAATATATATATTTAAAATATGAAAAGACCAAAATATCTCTTTAAAAAATCATCTCTCTCATGTTCATCTCTCCCCTTGGCCATTGTCATCATATGAAGACCTTCGTAACTTTCAAAAATATGAGTTGAACCATAAAAAAAATGTGGAGCATGATTGATAACCAACAATATCCCCACGAGAGCACCGTTGAACTTGATTCCATGGCCCGGCAACCTCCACGCTATCATCCCACCAGGTTTTCCCTTTGTATGTTTTTGCAAAGCACATGTGCTTTAGCTGGTTCATCACGGCAACAAAAGCGACAATGATGATTGGAGTTTTAACAATGAAGTTGAAGGCAGGTATTTAGAGGTGGGTGAAGGTGGAGCAAATGATGATGGACAAGGGTGGAGGAGACTGACATTGATGAAGGTGAAAGTGATTTTAAATTTTAATTCTAAAAAATCAAACGGATTTTATGAAATCTAAGATAGAATTAGATTCTGCATATTTTATTGAAATTGGGATTCCAAAGAATCCAAAATATATAATACCAAACAAACTTACATCAAGAGTCCATTTATAATTCCATTACCATACTTAGAATTCCATCATACCAAATATAACCTTATTTTGTTGTGCATCCAAAAAGTTCCTTATGAAGTATATATATATATATATATATATATATATTTTAGGCTTTGTAATTAGTTTTAACTTTGTGAATTTTTATTTAACAAGGTTAATATACAATTAGAACTCAAAATCAAAATGCACGCTCTCACTGCCTCATGACATATGTTCCCACCGCAATTTATGCATATTTGGTGGATTAATGCTGTGGATATCATAAACACTGGGGCTAAAAATAATAAATATAAAACGGTTAAAATAAAGGGGTCGGATTTCAATATGATAGGATCAAGATCATTTCATTAGTAGACATAAACACCCATTCGTTGGAGTTAAAGAAATATGCCACCACATATTTAGTAGAGGGTCAGCTTCGAGAAACATATAGGTTGCGCTGTAAAACCAAAAACATAAATGCTTTACCATATTTTAACCATAAGTAACTACACATATGGTATTCAATTCTCATGAACGTAAGGGAATCATGGAGTGTCACATATACAACAAGCCTTGGATGTCCTATGGATGCTGACAAATGAAAACATAGCTGCCCTCGTCCGCGCATCACAATAATTTGGATCCTTGAGGTCAAACAATTCTCACTATTCTGGTGGAGTCAATTCCAGTTCTTAGAAATCTCTGAGGGCTTGCGAAGAAAACCCCCTGTAATGGAATATTCAGTGGAAACAAATTAACCTATGGATGTCCCTGTCCCAGCCAATGAAAGGAACAGACATGCTTTACTATCTAGAGCCATGCAATGAAAAAATGATGCTGTACAATAACAAATTAAGCCGAATATTCAACCAAGCTTTCTAACTATGCCGAAGAATTTAGCATTTAGCAAATAGGGAAAAAAAGCAAATGCATCATGGGATTAGTTAGAATTAGTATCAATTAGAAGTTAGTTCTCTAAGGAATTCTTGGTATCCTGATAGTATAAACAAGAGAAGGTGCAAGTATATGGGTATGATAGATTTGAGCAGTGTTTATGTTTTCTCTGTATCAGCGAGGAATAAATTTTATGGCTTGTCAGATAATGCAAATCAAGCATGCATGTTTTTTACCAGACAGAACTTTGGAATCTATCTAACTTGAACAATCCTTTTAAGACCAAACCCAACATATTACTTGAAAAATCCACCATTATTGATGTCTGCCTCACTTTCAACCATATAACAAAAAATCATTGCATTTAGCTGGTTTTAATGCCATGACATAATCAAAGTAGGTTAGCAAAGTTATCTAAACTGTTACATTTAGAGTCACACATTTTAATACAGAAATCCAGCAAAGTATTGCAATAACGAAAGAGGTAATTCAGAGATCATAAACTAACCTCCTCCACTTGAAACAAGGTGGATCCGAGAACGAGGACCCTCAAACTTCCAATTATCATCATCTAAGGATTTAACCTCCTTCTCAAGTGCAGCCATGAGATCTTTTTTTAGAACTGCAAAATCAGAAAGCAGAATCTGTAAATGCATGCTTCACGGGTTAATTTAGGAAACACAGACAGAATGTTGTTATACTTTGGCTCCAAATACGAAGAAGACAATTGCTGTACTCCATACAAAATTGCAAACCATTAGAGATAGCAAGGAATATGGATTAAAATAATTGTCCTAGTTAGCTCTTCAGCCTTCGGTATATAAAAGGAAAACCAGTTAAAAAAAATGTTCCAACTGCTTAGTAATCTTAAAGGCTCCAAGCTCATATATGGCAAATTACAGTGCTGAGCATAAGTTGAGAAGGGAAGACTCATCTTCTTGTCCCAAATATTTATTTACTAAAAGAAGTTATTACATTATTACAATGTTTGGAAATGGTAAATGGAGTCTGCAAAGATAAAAACAGATCCCTCGGATGTCAATCTTAACAAGATCTCAATTTGAGGCTACATGTAAGATTAAACCCCAATAGCTTATCAGAGGGAAAATCAGGAATCAAATAATGCATATTGAACAATAATTATAAACTTAATTATCACATCCTTAAATTGGCTGGTCATGGTAACGAAACAACGTGACGACTGAATTTCATCATTTAAACAAATTTTGCAAGAAAATGATTAAGAAAGATGGTATAGGAATATATTTATGAACACTGACATGGAAGAGCCCAGAAAATAAGATTCCTCTTTGATCAGCTGAAATGATTCAACCTTTTTTCCATGAGGTAGAAATTTTGACATCTTTTTTTTTACAATGAGAAATCGTGTCATCCCTTCCAAAGATTTTTTTTTTTTTTTTTAAACCTTGTTAACTTCATCGAATGAGTAAAATTCCAATTCCAGATGACCGCGAAGCAAAGAATTTGGCGAAAAGTCATAAAAACTAAGAATATAAAATGAAGAAACGCACAATACAAGCTAAGAATTTTGAAAAGAAGAGAATGTAGAAGTAACCTAACATGGCCTCGTCCTTTCGCTCATATGTTGACAATGGATCACACGGAAAATGGAAATCGTCAGCAGAAAGAGTTGAATTACTGCCACCACCTCCTCCACCACCCACAACCGCCGTCGCTGACATCGATGAATGTGCCGGCGATGAACTACTCATCGTATGCCCACTTCCTCTCCTTTGCACAGTGTTTGGTCGGATTTTTTTTTTTTTTGGAGGGGATGGGAGTGGGCAAAAGTGTTTGGTTGGAAAAAGTTCGAAGGGAACATTCCAAAATTGGGGGTTTTTGGAGGGCGGCGAAACATTTTTTTTCACTGACTAAAATACCCGTGTAATTTTAAAATATTCCACAATTGCCCATCAGATAAAACTATTCTGCTCAGTTGGCGATCCATTCAGTTGGCCTTTGTCGCTTGTCGCCTCTCTTCTAGGTCGTCATCGGCTTGATCACTGCCTCTCTACTTGGTTGCCGCCGCCGCCGCCTAGTGCGCTTACAGCCACCGTCAGATGAGAGCTGAGAGCTGCTCGTGGGTGTCTGAGTCCGTTGCCGCATTGGAGAGCTTAAACGCAGGTGAGTCATTGGTCGTTCTTCCTGTTTCACCATCGATGCTTCGCCCGAGTCCCATTCCTTTTTTCTGTCACATTTGCGTCCCTGTTTCTCCATTTGTTTCTGTCACATCTGCGTCCGAGTTCCCCGAATCCTGATTGAGGAATGCTTTGATGCCTATTTCAATTCAATTTAAAATGCCTAAGCACCCGGGGGAAAAAATGAGTGCATCAGAATTGCTTACCAATGATTTTTCTGAATGGCTTCAAGTGTCCAATTGAAAGGTGATGATATTGTAAACAGAGTATATACAATAATTAGGAGAATTAGTAAACCGAGTATATGTCTGGTAGTAAAAATTACTCGATAATGGAGCTGACTCTGCTTCTCCAACTTCTGCAACTACCAACTGTTGCGGCAGACGTGAACGGCGAAGTACGAACTGCTTGACTTGTGCTAGAAAGGACACTATCCTTAAAAATTATTCCGACATACCTTCTTACGATCGACAATTCTCAAGGATTAAACAAGTACTTTCTATGGCGGAGCAAGGAAACAGAACAATAGAGACTAAAAATCAAACACAAACGTAAAGACGAACACAAGAGCAGAATGCAGAGGGAGGAGAGAATTGCCCTGAAAACTCAAGAGGCTGGTACCCTATTCTGTCCGCATAGCCCGAGGAAGGAGACATGAACGTTGGCTCATAATCACCGGATTAAAGCTCCAGTTACACTCTCATAAATTACGTTTAAGCACTTGTCTGGGGGTTATGTAGACGTACATCACAGTTAAGCCTCTGTCTGGAAACGTTGGCAAACAAAACGTTCAAGATATTAACTTAACAAAATCGATTTATTTGGAGACGTTGGCAGACAAAACATTAACTCACAAAATTGGTTTTCAAAAGAGGTTTAATGCTGAAAAATTGTCAAGGTTTCAAGTTTAAATTCAAAACAGCAAAATCAGAGGTTTTCAGGTAAGCTAAAAATAATTATTTATTTAATTATTTTTATAAAAATAACTCAGTAAAAGAAACCTATTGCCTTTTGAACTCGTGCGCAGGGGGCGAATCAGTTGATTTCAACTGCAATTGCCCTGTGTTGGCCTATCTCATGTGCTCGAGGTCACTTCTCTTCTAAACTCATTTTACCAGCCCACTTCATTTCTTAGTATATATACACTAAGAAATTCTTTCTTTTAGTCAATGTGAGACTTTGACACACACACACACTGTTGACACACATACAACAATCCCCCACATGTGTCAAAAGGATCTATGTTCGTCTGTGTTTATTTGCACAAAGGATAATCACTTCGAATTTGGTGTCTATCAACTTAAATCAAACTTAGACTAATAAAACTTAGCACACAAAACAGTCAGTGTAACTTTATTATTGAACCAACAGATCTTGAGCATATGCTAGAGGTCTTATTAATCAGATTATACCCTCACAATCTTTGCTGTTAACGACGATTTTGTACGTTGTCGGCTATGCGTACGCTTGGTTTTAACAAATGCTCTAGAGATTTAGCCACGATCTCATAGAAGCGGCCCCACTCCACATTTTTATAAGTGTTTTCATCAAGTGTATTTGCAATGAATACACCATCCATAAGGACTATGAAAACATTAAAAACTTTCGCTCAACCTCCGTTCAATGCATTCTAGCACTTTCTCAAGCCATAGGAAGGGACAAAATCCAGTGCTAGCAGAACTAATAAGTGACTTGTTCTTACTTATTAAACCTTCTTCATGGGTTCTCCAATCACAAAAGTTGGGTTGCCATCACCGTTAATTTCAAACAGGCTTAAGTTCCATTCCCCTCGACATTTCAATAATAAATTTCTTCCCCAGGGGCTTAGTTAACAGATCCGTCAGATTTAACTCTGATCTCACATAATCGATTAAGATGACCCTATCTTTGAGCAGCTGCCTTATAATATTATGTTTCAATCGAATATGTCTACTTTTGCTATTGAAGGTCTTATTTTTAGTCGTTGCTATTACAGAATGGCTATCACAATGTAAAGACACTGATGGTGTAGGCTTTTCACCTATTGGAATACTTGCTAAGAAGTTTTTCAACCACTCAGTCTCAGTCCCAGCCAGCTTCATGGCAATGAACTCAGAATCCCTTGAGGATTTTGTGTTGATTGTCTGTTTTGTAGACTTCTAAGTTATTGCACTACCACCAAGAGTGAATATATAACCACTTGTGGATTTTGTCTCTTCTGAATCCGAAATCCAGTTAACATCATTGTATCCTTCCAATACAGCAAAAAATCCACTATACAATATATCATAATTCATGGTACCTCTCAAATATCTTAAAACTCTCACCAGAGCCTCCTAGTGTTTACTGCCTGGACAATGGGTATATCTGCTCAATCTGCCTACAGCATAAGCTATATCAGGCTTAGTAACATTCATCAAATACAACAGACTCCCAATAATCTGTGCATACTTAGATTGAGCAACTGGATCACTCTTGTATTTTTTAATTGCACACTCGAATTATAAGGAGTACTCAGAGGAGCATCTTCAAGATGTCCAAACTTTCTGAGAATTTTTTCAACATAATGTTCTTGGGAAAGCAAGATTTCATTTTCATTCTTTATGATTTTTACACCCAAGATTATCTTGGCTTCACCCATATATTTCATATCAAAATTTGAAGAAAGAAAATTTTTTGTTTAATTAACAACACACATACTAGAGCCAAAAATTAGTATATCATCTACATACAAGCATATAATCACACAATCATTATTCACAAGTTTTGTATAAACACATCTTTCTACTTCAATAGTAGAAAATCTATCAGTTGTCAAAACTTGATCAAGTTTCTCATGCTATTGCTTAGGCGCTTGTTTTAAGCTATACAAAGACTTGACAAATTTACAAACTTTATTTTCTTGCCCAGGAATCACACATCCCTCAGACTGTACCATATAAATTTCTTCTTCCAAATCACCATTTAAAAAAGCAATTTTAACATCCATTTGGTGAACAAAAAGCTTGTAAATTGAAGCCAAATCAATGAGAACTCTTATAGAAGATATTCTAGTCATAGGAAAAAATGTGTCAAAATAATCTATATTTTCTTTTTGAGTAAAACCCTTGGCCACGAGCCTTGCTTTATATTTATCAATTGAACCGTCTAGAAAATATTTTTTTAAAAAATTCATTTACACCCAATGGCCTTAGCTCCTTGGGGCAAATCTGCTAAAACCCAAGTTTTATTTTTTCTTAAAGAATCAATTTCAATTGCTTCTTTTCAAAATTTGATATCAGGAGAAGAAATAGCTTCATAAAAATTTAACAGTTCATCTTGTACTAAATAAGTGTAAAAATTATCTTCAAAACTTGTTTCTTTTTTTTGCTTTTTACTTCTCTTTAAAACCAAATCCTCATTTAAATTTTGTTCAAACTCTGAATTCTCAATAGGTTTAGAAACATGCTTAATTTTCAAGGAAAAAATATGTTCATAAAATTCAGCATCCTTAGTTTCTACAATTGTGTTTTGGTCTAAAATATCACTTTTTAAAACTAAAAGGCGATATGCTGCACTTTGTTCAGCATATCCAATAAACATACAATCGGAAGTTTTAGACCTAATTTTTCTCTTTTTAGGATCAGGTAATAAAACTTTTGCAAGACACCTCCACACTTTTGCGTCTTAGTCTCATTCTTTAACATTTTAGGTTAAACAATTTGATCTTCCAGACCTCGAGTGGCTAAATGAAGAATTGAATGCCTTATGCGGATAATGACCTGGCAGAACACATGGAAGAACATGGTTAAAGTAGCCAACACTTAACGAGAGGGCAACATTATACCCAAAAAAATACGTTGGGGCAAAATTACACTAAAAAAACTTCAAGATATGGGGTGTGCCTGAAGGAAAATATTAAGAGTATTTTTGTACGTTAATCCTTTCTTTATTGTTGACATGTTTATCTTTCATGTGATTTTTTTCCCCGAAGCAATATCTTGCCACCTGCTTTTCATACACCCTTTCTTATTCTTTAATGTAACTGATCCTTGGTTGAAAACATTGTGTACAGTATAAATTGCTGAAATATTAATCAATATTTGGTTAATTTACACCATACCAGTCTTTAGAATATAGTGTTAAGAGCACTGACTCGGCATATTTTGCTAGAAAATCAACAAGTGAATCATAATATAGGATCTATTTCTATTGTGGGTTGTGTTTTTAAATGTGAAATGATGATTAGTTTGGCATAAATCTCTCTATCTGTGCTTGCGTGTGTACTACCTCTAGTCTTATTTATTCGTCACTTCCAGCATGTTTTATCAGAATCAAGGAAAACCTTAAATCTCAGTAATTTTGTCTTAAAATTTAACAAATTTTCACCTTTTCCTCTAATAAATATTCTTAAATCTCATTATTGATATTTTTATTCCAAGCATTTAATAAAAGCAAAACTGTAAAGAGGGACATTAAAAATTAATAAGTGCCCTATAAATAAGGCTAAATTTTTTCTTCTCTCTATGCCTCATAAATAGGATTAGAGGAGTATTTAGCTAGTCTTGATTATTTGGAGAGTGTTCTTTTGTGATTCCAATTCATGACATGCTGGAGCATTTGGAGAGAAACACCTGTAGTGCTTTGCATAAAGGAAGAGAATTTATATTGACTTGTGAAAATTCTAACTAAAATTTAGTTTAAAACTAGAATAGATCATAGTTGAAAACTGATACCCTTCTAAAATTTAAATAGTTATATTGTATGAAAAAATAGTTATAATCTTGCTGATAATATCTAAACAATAACCCTAATTTAAATTATTTGATTTTGATATATATATATATATATATATATGCGATGGTTATGTAGTAACACTAAATTTAAATGTGTTGTTTTATTCTTGATACACAGTGATGGCTTTATCACAAGAAAATCAAGAATTATTGCATTTGTTGAATTGGTGGTTGGTGATGGCTAAAGCAGTGCATGAATTTTTCTTTTTTGAGTGTTTGACAATGATACTGAAGCGATGCCAAGTAAGTCATGTGTCTTGCATGATGGATTGTTCTCTTGGTACCAACTCACCACAGAGAGCAGTCTATCTGAGACAACCTATTCTTCCCAAAAAAGGAAGAGATCGAGCTGTGATCGTGATGACTTAATGCTAAAAAGGTAAGAGAAGATGGCCTAAACAATGGCTGAAATCTTCAAGGATGCCACAAAAAATCTAAGGATGCATATAGAAAGGGCTGAACGCAAGAAGCGGGTGGATGGGATGAAAGAGTAACTTTATGAAGAACTTATTAAGGTTGAGGGCATCTCAGATGAGGACCGTATTGCTGCCTAAGTGAAGATGGTTTCTGATGAGAGCTTGCTCATTGGATTTTATACCATACCTGCTGGTGAGAGGGCTGGTGCGATCCGACAGATTACAGGCTGGTGTAATTAACTTATGAGACTTTTGAGATGGTTGGAAGAGTATTTAACATCTATCTTAAACTTTTGATTTGTAAGATATAGAATATATTACATGCTTATGCTTAATGTGACTCCTGAGCAGTGAGATATAGAATCTCTTACTATATGAAGAATTATATTTGCTTCAGGCTATATTTCATTTCAATTTAAAATTTCTCATATTTAAATAATTTTTTAGCCAACATACAAAAAATGGAATGAATAAGTGCACAAATTATTCACTTCAATTTAAAATGTCTTACATTCAAACGCTTTTTTGTCAACTTAAAAAAATGCAATGATATAGTTGCCCAAATGATTCACTTCAACTTACATATTTAAAACGAATTTTTTAACCACCATTATTTTTTTTAAAAAAAAAAAAGTGGAATGAACAAGTCCCCACTTTCAATGATCAACTTTCATGCATTTATGTCTTGTCTATGGGCCTGAGAAATTAGTAGAAGGGCTTTGTTGTAATCGTACACGTTCTTTTTCGTTAATAAAGGTTGATCCTTGTTCCCCAACCAAAAAAAAAAAATTGCCCACTTCCCTCCAAAATCCCTTAACTAACCAACATCACGTGGCTACTCATGTACGATGTGTCTATTGTTCATCTGGGTACCTTAGTAATGAATTATACTCTTTTGAGAATTTTTAGCGAAATGTATACACAGTCAAAAAATTTAGAAATAGGGTGGGAAATATTTACTAATATTTTATATTTTCTTAAAGAAAGAAAATTAATATATTACAGTAAGAACATTAACATACAAGAACAGTGTTTCCAGGCCAGGGGGGAAAAACTAAAGACAGAAAAAAGTATTTCTAATCCTCATGCAGAACACGAATGTGGATATGCTAGAAAATAGAGTAAAGGTGAGATATCCGCAGCAACAACATGACTTGCCATTCTTTTTTATGGATCCGTAGTAAAGAACCTAATCCTTGTAAGATATTGATTCTCAAGTAAGTTTCGGATAGATTTTTATATACAAAACCGATCTTTCTATACTCCACTTAACTTTAATTAAGAAACTATTTTTCCCCTAACTTGGAGTGAAGAAAGCGATGGGCTGCAAATCGATTTATGTGCATTCATCAAAAAGTTGGAACTCTAGGAAAACGATTTCAATGGTTTTAGCTTTTTGTAAATAATAATCGTTCTCTGCCAAATCAGTGTGCCCATAATAAAGAGGAAGGGTACAGTACTTTCACCTTCATTCTATTTTATCTTAAATATACATATCTTCTTTCTATTTTTAAAATTTATATGAGCTTCTCCTAAAATGAATAATTACAAAACATAAGCATTTTCTTTACTTTAAAAATTTTATTTTCATACATCTAACTGTTAGTTAACTATTAAATTATATATGTTAAACTAAAATATCTCTCTTTAAATATATATATATATATAGTCTAAAAATTATTCAAATTACCCAAAAAAATTAATGCATATATTTTTTAATTTTTTATATTTTAATTTTTTAAAATTATAGAAATGTATTTATTTAGTAATTTTTGAAAAATTTAAATACATAAATTAGTTAAACTAATATTCAAAAATTTTATGAAATAAGAATTCAATATAATAAATTACTATATATAATTTATATTTATTTTTCTTTAAATTTTATTAATTCTAACATGAACTTTAAAATTATTTATTTAAATATTGACATACTTGATTATTTAATTTTTTTAAAATTAGGAGAGAGAATAAAAAATTAGATCATAACGGTAAATTAATAATTTTAAATTTTTTTAATATAATTAAAAATAAAAATTTAAATATTTTAGAACATTTAACAAAAATTCCTAATAATAATGTTTTAGATTGGATCAAAATGTATGCTATGAAAACATAGAGGAAGTGTGAAACCGAAAGGAGGTTACTGTGCTTCACTAGTTTACCCTAAGAAACAAAGAAAAGCTGATTCACTTGTCATGATTAGTAAATAATGGTGACAAGAATAAGTGACCAAATAATTTTTAATAAATAATCATATACTCCAATAAATATAAAATATTATTACTCTTTATTAAAAAATATAAAATATTTTTTTAAGAGTTAGATCTTAAAAAATATAAAATATTTTTAATCTTTTGATATGTAATAATTATTTTTTTTAAAAAAAAACACATATTGATATTAATTTTATATTTATTATAGAGTATTTAATAGAAGTAAATATAAAAAATAGAGTTAATTTAAAAAGAATTATTTTATTAAGATGAGATTTAATTAAAAATATTTTATATTTTTTAATTGAATGAGTATTATTCAACTTTTTTTTGAGATTAAAGTCATTATTAATTATTAAATAATAATAAAATTGCTTATAAGTAATATAATAAATAGTTTTTTTGGCAACAATATTAATTAATAATTAACATATAGTAAATCAGTAGGAACCCCAGCAAATTGCCAAATGACAATCTCGTCCACCAAGGGTAGCTCGGCCATTTTCATTCGTCGACGAACGAGCATCCCGCACTTGGTCGAGCTCGCCGTTGAACGCCGTCCACTGTTGTCATTCCTGCGTGGTTATTGTCTGGTGAGTATTGAAGAAGATTCGAACCCTAGGGCTTTGTCTACTCTCAAAATCCGGTGAGATTGATCTGTTCAATCTGGCTTTGAATTTAGATTTGAATTTGTTCCCCGCGTCACCTTTTCCTGCGTGGTATTTGCCTGAATCAATTTAAGGTATTTGTGATCCATGATCGGGTAAATGACTTGGCTCGAGTTGTGTCTAGCAATTTAGAAGGTTGAGTTTAAATTGTCATTCTTCAGTGGCTTGGAGAAGTTGCCTGAATCAATTGGCTAAATAAGGCATCTTCGTCAAAGTATCTGGAACAAAAAGTAAGGTATTATATCAACTATGCATATTACAAAGATTTCAGTGGGCTCAGATGCCCCCAGTGAGTGTAATATAGCTCTGCCCATGCCGCGATGTATTCCCTGCATGTTTTTGCTGAGAGGGATTTTCTTGATATGGTTCCCTGTAAGCTGTTTGCTTGATCAAGCACTTTCAAGTGAGGTCAGTACTACTAGAACAATTGTGCCATTGTTATTCTAGAAAGTGTGCTGGTGGTGCTTGAAACTGTGATTTTAGTTTAATAAGGTACTGACATTTGATTGCGGTTAGCTATTTGTAATATAGTATAAATCAGTTGCCTAATGGTCTCTGTGTTAGCATCCCCTAACACATGAGAAAACAGTAGAAGTTTGTGTACTGTGATATATGGTTTATGAGACAACCCAAATTAGCAAGAGTGACTCTTTTTCTTTTTGTAATGCTTTTAACTTTATTGGCATACCTTCTATCTCTTACCACCAACTCTTGTATCTTTGCAAGTTGACGTTGAAATACATAAAAGCAATCTGCAATTGCTGCTAACAAGCAGCCTAAAATAAATTGATGATGCACCTAGATGAGAGCATTAAATAGCTAATTGAACCAATTTCCTTGTTCACTCACTTTTAAAATCTGGATCTCAATGGAATTAAATAAAACAGCTCCCTATTTGTTGATTGGACGCTGATAATGATCAAATTGTATCTCATTTTGCATTAATCCTGTCTTATTGTGGCTAAATAGATATCTGCTCAAACAGTTACTAGATCCTTTTATCTTCTTTTTCTTTTGATGTGTTGAAGTGAGTTTTCAGATTTTATTTTGATGTTCATGACTGGCATTTTCAGATTGGGGGTTATGCAGATTCCAACTCCAACAGTCCACACGCTAAGGCTTTTTGTAACTTTGATCAATTTCTGACTCAGTCCTACTATGCGAGATATAAGGTCTTGGTTGATTTAGATTTTGACACTTTCATGTCTCAAGAAATCCCCTGTGGTATCTGCGAAGTGCTTCCGGATAACTATAAATATACTTTAAGAGTGTCAGATCTACAGCGAAATCTTATTGGGGGAGGTTCTCATCGTCATCTGTCCACTTCAATCAAATTTCAAACTCAACCTCCGAATTCTGTACCTGAACGAATAAGCTATTCATGTCAGCTCGTAATTATTGAAAGACTTCCCTCTGGAGTTTTTGCTGATTCATTTGAACTACAGCATCTTGTTCAGCATGGTGGTAAATACTCTTCATAAGCACTTTCATACACAAAAATGCATGTTATCAATTTCAGAAACATCTTGTTTTCTTATGGTCACTCTTTATTGCAGTGTTTCGCAATGTAGCTGTCTTTGGAGATACCAATCTAGAGTTGCCTTCATTTATGTCCAATCGTTCTGCTGTTGAAATCCACTTAGATGTTGATCCAAACATTTTTCACAAGTCAACTGACATCAATCTGGAGCTTCCTTTGCACGCACGATATCAGGTAAGTAAAGCCCATTAGGGTTGAAAACAGCACATTTAGCCTCGATGGTCCTGCCCTAATCCCATTTTAAGCCAAGCCGCTTCATAATTATAACCCATGTTCTAAAATAGAAGCAGGAACATATCTCTAAAGGGCAATATCACCTTACGAATACGATAATTACTTCCATTATTTATCAAGATAATTCCATACAACATACACTTTATGTAATGGCTAATTTTACCCAATTACTATAATATGTCATGTTATAATCCAGTATTATAGCGCTTTTTTTTTTTTTAATCAAGGTCAAATTAGTTGCGGTATTCATTTTTTTTTTTTTTCAGTCAGAGTTCACTAGCGGTATTCATTATTGCCTTATGTGTTGCCCTTTTATTTGCAGCCTCTAAATGAGAGTGGCTATTCGACAGTTAAATTCGGTAGCCCAGATGTGTTGCTACATTGCAGCGCAAAGGAAAATATGAGCTGTTTCTTCAAAGCTACTGGTGATGATACTAATATGAATCATGATGATATTGTCTGGAGAATACCTTCTGGAAGAAAGGCCCATGCTCAACTTGTTTCTGCCTTTACATTTATGGCAGCCTTATTATCAACTTTCGTAATTGTTTGGACTTCATTGTGTTATGCTAACATCAGACTGTGCCGAGGTGGAAAGCAAGCATAGCTTCCCAACCCCCACCCCCCCGGGGATGTCAAGAAAGCAAGCATATATTGTTGAAGTGAATTTCTCGCTTTGCCACGTAAGTTTTTAATTATTATTATCATTATATGGTTATACTTTTTGGTGTCAACAAAAGATAATTTGATAAGAATTTGATTCATAATCTACTAAGTCATAAAATGAAATCTTATTACTGACATGAGCAATTTATAAATACTTCTATAAATATTTTTTAGTTTGAAAACATGTCCCAATCTTTGAAACTTCACCCACTCAAACTTCTTACTATAAAAAATATATATATTGTTATACTTCTCTAACAATATTTAAAACTTGTGAATAATTTTCGAGTGATCTAGAAGGCATTTAATCTTTTGCATATTTTCTTCTATTTCACGAATGAAGTGCTGCGAAGCAAACATGTTGCTAATGGTGACAGACTTCAGAAGGAAGCCATAAAATTTAAGAAGTTTGGTTCAACAAAATGAATGAGGGCATTAATTTTTTTGAATTTGGATATTAAAGGACTAATTGCAATGAGACTAACTATCAAAAAGTTTACTCAAGAAGTAGGAGCCTCATTGGCACAATGAGCTGTTTATAAATCCTCAGTTCTCAGTTCCAGTCCGGATCATTATGAAACGTTTTTCTGTTCCTTTTATCATACTTAAAAAAAAAATGGTTGATTACCAACTTCCATCATCTCCAACTACAGAGTTAGACCAACCCCAAGCAAACATAAACATAAACATGAAGCTTTTAGGATATAAACTCCACTAAAAAGTAAAATATTATATATATATATATACACACACACACATACATATTATATATATATAGAGAGAGAGAGAGAGAGTGAGTGAGAATGTTAACGTATCGCCAAGAGGCCTAATGTTGCATTTACAGGGAAAGGGGCATTCATCAAATCAAATATTATTTTATGATGAATAAATAATCAGAGAGCCACTACACAAGAAGGGTGACACACCATCATAACCCAAACTCCTACATAGAGAAGAAAACACATAGCCCATACAGAATCCTCAACACACACACACACACACACACACACAGGTTAATTACCACATAAGATGTGTCAAACTCAAGTCAACCATGAAATCCAGTAAAACATTGTGAAATCAGTGAAGGCCATCTGCTGTTACAAAGATACAAGTCTTCTTCATAATTTGAATTGCCATAAGCTTTGACTAGGCAGCAAGAACTATGATCACGATGAGGAGCACAACCCCGAAGATCACCAAGAGCAAGCACGTCTAGAAAAACGAGAAACAAGGATATACAAGATCAACGATACTAAATACCCAAAGCTTTAATAAAGGGAATGCGAACATTCTATCAAAGATAATATAGGAAATCTACAATTCTACCGCAAGGATTACAGAACTGAGTGATGGTTAATTCCATAAACCCACCTCCTTTCTCCAAAATATTGGATTAAGCTGCAGTTAACCCAATTCTTTTCATTCTTAAAATAATGAACCCTGTATTTCGGGTCCTCGTTGCCATATAGTAAAAGTTGAACTTTTTAAGATGGCTTCCATGCACTCACTAAATCCAAATCAATTTAGTTGAGGTATTACCTCACAGGAGGCGAGTCTATATGGAATGTTGGGTGTGTCAAATTTTAACATGGAAGCAGGTGGAAACATTTAAAAACAAATACATAAATGAAAGTTATAAGATAAAGCCTAATAGATTACCAGGGACGAATTTGATCTTTGGATCTTTGCAGCTTTCACGAGTTGAGATTTTGCTTCTGAAGTTGCCGAGTGGGAGGCTTCAATATTGGATCCAATATCATCTGCAAAATAGAAATCCTTGACATCAGATGACAGCAGCCAGTCCAGACAATGAAATACTTAAGCTAATACAGATATGAACGCAATAAGAGCTTTTTTTTAAAAAAAAAAAAAAAAGCGGGTCCCATTTTAGTTACCAATTATGACTCCTTGCTCATGGACAAGCACAGCAAGATCTTTAAAAATCTCGTTTACTTCACCAATTTGCTGTTGGATTTCTTGAATGCCATGCTCACGTTCCTCAATTATAGCTTCATTGAAGGCAATCTCATTATCCAATAATAACAACTCTTGCCTGCAACATGAACAAAGCAAGGCAAATCCCCGCATCAGTCATGAGGCCAAATCCTTTAATATTATTGAAATCTTTTTAATAAAACCGTTTAATAATATTGAAAATATGTAACACTACTATTTGATCCAAGTCACATTACACAATACAGCAGAGGCCTCTACAATAAGCAACGCAATAATGAGATCAAAATGTATGTCTAAACTTTGATTTACCATCAATAAAATGTGAGAAATTACCTTCTGGATTCCACAAGAGCACGCCGTTCTGAAGTCTGATCAGAACTAACATCCACCTCACTGGCTGTATAACTGCAAACCAAGAAGAAAAGGCCAATATCATGAGCAATATATGCATGTAAGAAATAACATCTTATGAGGAATATCAGTGAACCGACAGTCACTAGATGAGAAAGTGTTCACCAAAAACAAGTCCAGATAAGGTAAACACTAAAAAGTAGGCCTTTTTAAAGAAAATTATTGTTGTGTATAGGATCAGTTCACTTCATAATGTTGCATCCACGTGCAAATTGCAAAAGAAAAATAGAGGAAAACAGAGAGGGCACAGTCCTTCCCCTTTTGACTATTACAAACTTCAATAATTGTTAATCAGTCACCTGGAAGGAAGACTTGCTTGTGAAACAAAAGGAGTGTAGGCTGTTTCCCTTGTGGCTGCAAGCTGCTGTGCCTTCTGAAATTCTTTCAAAACTGCCTGAAAATCTTTTGCAAGTTTAGCATCGGCTATCTTCCTACTTGCCTGCAACAATGAGAAAGACATGGAAGGCAATCAACTACAAAGTGGTAGCAAGAATTCATTTTAAAGGTACATTCAAAATTTTGATCATAACAAGTATATGCTCCTCTTTATAACAATTTACAGACATTCAAACAGTTCTCTTGGATATGCATATATGATACAAGATAAAGATTCAAACTTACGCTAACTTCAACATGGTGATCTATTTCACTAGCCTGCTTGAGTTTAGCAGATGTATCCTTCACCAATTGCCCGATATTGAGTCTTGTCTTGTGCCTTCAGGTTAAAAACAGTCAACAAGTTAAGGAGTGGAGATTAAGCTTCTCATAAATATAAAACCAACGGCTAAGTTTTGAATTGACTATGAAAAGATGCATTCAAGAAAATAATGTGCAAACAGCTTATAAAGCATGATAAACAATAAACATGTATAAAGCATGAACCGATTTCAGCATAAACTGCAATACCAGAGTGCACTAAAGCTTTCACCTTCAATTGTTTTATGACTCAAATTTATTGATGGGTCCAATTACATTACAGCCTCCCACGGTCTCAACCACGAACGAAAAGAATAAATACACAATGTTAGCGAGAAATCTGTTAGCAGCCTCAAGTTCAAATCAACACCATAACTACTTCCTCCCGACATTTAAAAATGATTTTTCAAGGAATTCATTAGCTGACAAGTTATATACAAGTCAGGCTGCTCACAGAAGAGTAATTGAACTCATCCATCGAGCTCACTAGAAAGAAGTAGCACAAAATTCAACCAATGCAAACCACAATTGCCACTCTCTCAACCAAAACTACCGCAAATACATAATTATAAGCGGTACATGAACTACGAAAATGCTCAGAAAAATCATAATATGAAGAATCATAAACTGCGCACTCACAATTTCTCGCGTAGCTCGAGCGTGTCTTTAGGGGTTCCGAGGGTATTGACGAGCCTCTGAAACGTGGAAACAGCGGTGTTGATCTGAAAGATACCAGAAGCCACGGCCTGGGTAGGATCTTGGTTGGGATTGCCGAGGTTTCGCCGGGGAGCGAAAGGCCGGCCAGCTTCAATATCCTGAAAGCTCATTGTGTAATTACTATGACCCTTACTTTCTCCAGAAAATCAAGAATTGAATTTTCTAGAGAAAGAAAAGGGGCGAGGAACGAGAGCAAGGTGATTTACGGCTCTTAACAGAAACAGATGCTTCCAATCGGCGGGTCCTGAGAATAGAGAAAGTCTAACGACGAATTGACGGGGACATGGCAGAGATGGATGATCGGCTGGGGACATTGATTATCATTAACGATTAGTTTAGTTCTCTGTTAATTGACAATTACGGGCTGCTTGTCGTATGAAATAAAATGATATTGAATAAAAGTAATATTTTTATAAATATAAAAAATGGGAGAAATGGACAAAAGTACCCATCAAGTGATCAGCCAAAAACATCTAATAATTTAAAATAAAAAATAATAATAATAAAAATATTTACAACATTATTAAAGTTTGTACAAAAATAACCAAACAATTAAATTGCCTTAACATCTATTAGTTGATTGTACTTGTTACGTGTCAATTTTTGTTAATGTGAATTTAAAAAGGGACAAAAATACATATAAAATCATCGACCAAAAGTATCCAATAACTTAAAGTGAAAAAAAAATATAAGAATGCTCATAATATTATTTTAATAAATGCAATAATAATCAATTTAACAAAATTCATATTGTGTGATTTTTTTTTTTCGCCACGTATCTCACTCCCTTCCTCCCTCTCTCTATTCATTTTTTTTATCTACAAAACTTGATATTCAATGTAGTGAAATAAGTTGCACGCAATTGAAAATCAAGAAAAAAAAAGTTGTGACTCGCTACAAAGAATACATACTTCATTAAGGAGCTCGTAATGCTTTCATGACTACACGCACCCCCTACACCATCTATCTTAATAACACTGGCACGACTTTAAATGATTTCGTTCATGATGAGATTTGAAATCCTCAATTAGCTTCGAAAACTTCTAAAAAAAAGCAAACGATTTAACTTATTATTTGATCAAAACATTATTTTTCCACATGATATTCATATGATGATGAATCAACATCTGTAAAATTTCACTTGAAAATATTTTTTTGTCAATGTTAGCAAAAAGATAGTCAACTTTTGCTTAGTATCAGCTAAATGGTCCAACATTTAAGAGATTTAATGAATTGATCACTATTGCATGTACTAAAATAATATTATGAGTTTTCTGCCTTTTTTTTCATTTTATGCTATTGGATGCTCTTGGGCAATAATTTTATAGATATTTTTTTTCTTTTTTTTAGTCCATATCAGCAAATATTGACATATGACAAACACATTTATCATTTCACACTGAAAAATAACAGACGTTAAGGCAAGTTAACAGTTTGATTACTTTTGCATCAATTTTAATAATGTTATAGGTATTTTTATCATTTTTTCTCGCTTTAGGCTATTATTAGCTCTTGACCGATTACTTGATAGGTATTTTTTTCCATTTACCCTAAAAAATATTCCTAAAGGCACAAATTCAAATTTTGAAATATTTTATTTGATTTTCTTAAAAATGTTATTATTTGTAATGACAAAACTTATTATTATTATTTACAAAAACATTTAAAATTATAATTGATTTAAAAATCAATTACTAATATTCATATAAGATAAATTCCATCTCATTAACCACGAACTCTTGATTAAGTTGATGTGGCATAAATTTAGTTAAATTTAACTATCATTTTAATAGCAAGGGTTTATAATCAAAATCTATAAGATAGGGGTGTATGATTTAAATTTTTCAAGATAAGAAAGGTTATATGCAATTAACCTTGAGTCAGTGGGAGTTATGTGTGTTTTGGCCTATCATGTTGTTAAAAAATATATGACATTTTTAACGAAATCTCACCTTTTAATAAAATAAAGTGATTTATTTTAAAATAAATAAAAAATAATTTATTTATTGTGAACATTTTAAAAAAAAATTACAATAATTATACTTTGAAATACAAAAAATATTTTATATTTTCAAACATTCAATCCTTAAAAAATTCTTTATATTTTTTAATAGAGAGAGTAAAAAATATAAGCATTGATTATAACAAAAATAATATGTTTAATATAACATCCTAAATAACAATCTGTGAACAGTTCAATTTGTTCTAAATTTCATATTTTCATATTAGTTGGAATTGATGGTAATTAATATTGCTAATATTGATAGTTCGTTTTCTTCATTATTTTATCTGTATTTTAAAATTATTATTGATTTTTTGAAATTATAATTTAATCTGTGAAATTATGAAAATGTTACTCTGCATGTGCCTTAGCAATATTCCCAGGTACAATAATCTTCCTTGTATTATAAAATTCAAAGCTAATACAACACTGTTCCGTCTTTAAATATAAGATAAATTTGTTTTCATTTATAAGTATCATGTCATTATAAATTTTGATAAACATTTATTATATTTTTTAAAATCATCTCTCATAAAGTTAATTTTTTTTTTCACTAGACAATTTCTTTCATTGACTACAATGATAATTTAGTCTAATTTTAAACATAATTATTATGCTTAATCAACTTTCTTAAATTATATAAATTTATTATTTTTCTGATAATTAAAACAAAAGCAGCATCTACTACGATAAATGGCATCCTTCGAATCCAAATATTTATACAAAACAATAATTGTTATTAAAAATTGAAAATTATTACATTTTAAATGATTAAATATATTGTTTATAATTTATAACAGTTATTATTATTAGAGTTATTATTCAACAGAAAAAGAGTGGTAAATTATTATTGGAGGTTTTTTTAGATCAAGAAAAAGAAAAAGAAATATTGAGTATAATTGATCTTAAATTCTGTGATTGGAATGTTGGCCCAAAAAAAAAAGTTGGCAAACTAAAACCTTTGGTTAGAGCATGAAGGAAATTTACCATGTGAAGAGATGAGAAGATAAATTGTTTTGGAAACCATATACGAACAATTCTTTTAATGTTAAATCTATCTATTCTTTTTAATGTTAAATCTGTCTACTCTTTTCTTTGTGCAAGTACTAGAAAAAGATATGGAGATGGAGATGGCCTATTGCGAAAAAATAAAATCATTTATGTGGATGCTTACACATAGAAGAGCACACACGTATGAGATAAGACAAGGAAGAGGACTAACAATCTAGCAAAAGTGTCCTTGTGGATACGACATGATAAAAGACTCAATGCACCCTATTGTAACTATATATGAATGTATCAAACAAGTGGGAAGCTGTGGTCAATAAGTATAGTTGGAGCACTTTTGCTAACCTTAAAGTGTAATGTGGGTTAAATGGAATCTAAGCCATGAAGTAGGTCAAAGGTACACGACAAAAGTGCCCTAAGCAACTCTTTTTGGCTATAATCGTTGAAATATTTAGGTCGATAGATGTGAAAAAGTATTTGATAAGAATAATTTCCTTAACCAAAAAATTGCCTTTTCTAGTTTTGTTTAAGATGTGTGTAGATGCTAATCTTCTTAGTATAGCCCCCTTTTTATCCTATGAAAGCAAATGCTTTAAGGAAAGCAATAGGAATGAGTCTATAAAGCTTGATGTTGATGTTTTTATTTTACCTAGTGGAAGCAGCGGTTGCAGTGGTTCTATTTGGGATAGAGATGAGAATTAGTTTCTAGGCTTTAGATGTAAATCAATCAATGTCCTTGCTGCGATCGTGGAGTTACTGGCCATTATTCATGGCTTCAATTTACGTTGGGGCAAGGGATTTTGTATATTGGATATCTTTTGTGATTGCATTGAGGCTATACTTTTACCAATTAGCAATTGTGACAACTCCCACCCTTTTAAGGAACTGGTTGATGATGCGAGACTTTTATATCATTGGAATTGAAGCTTAGTTACTCATCATTTTGGTAAACTTTTATATGTTGCTAAATGTCTTATTCTATAGATATGACTTTTTATATCTTTGATCATTCCTTACTCCTCTATCAAGGGGAGATAGGTGGTGAAAGGGCTATGCTTGAAGACTTGGTCATGTTGTAATTGTTTTTAAGTTATGAATATACTTTTCAGTCAAAAGAAAAAAAACTATTAAGTCAAAAACAAATCTTTTGAAGTTTGATCAGAAGAGTTTTTCCTTTTAGCCCAAACGATTGTATAGAGTTAGAATATGATTAAGCATGTAAGGTCTCCTTTATTAAACCACAATTAACTCCTTAATTAAGATAATTACGTGACTAACCCAAGTAAATTATCAAGTTTGTAAAATTATACAAGTGAGAGCAATTCTCAAATCATTTACAATGATTGCAAAATTCAACATTTTTAATTTCTATCAAACACTTATTATGTACAAATCAGAGTTTTAAAAAAATGCGGAAACTTGAAAATCGGTTAGGACCTAAACATTAAGTTTCAGAACTCAAAAACTATGTTTTGTACAAAAGATGTGACATGCACCGTGGCTAAGGGTCCATGTGCCTCAACTCACTTGCCTTTGTGCCTTGCGTCGCGTCACATTGCACAAATATGACAATAATTAGCTGTCAATTTGATAGCACAAGGAGCGAATTTCAAACGCATTCCAAATCTTTGTTCAACGTTCAATGGAGGTGATTTTGGTGTCAATACGGAGTTTTCTTCCAACTTTAGCTAATTCATAAGTTTCATATTCAAATTCACTTTTTATGAAAGGTAGACACCACAACCTATTTTATCACTTTTACACATGAAAACTCACATCAAAGGTGTCCCAATTCACACATAAGTGTTAAAAAACCAACACCGATCATCCGATCACACTCAATAAATTTTATATAACTTGTGCAACACACCATACTCAACCTAAAACACATATAACTCAAAATTATCACTCAACTTTAAATTTTACAAAACATAAGGGAGAGGAATTTCTTGTATAAAACAATCATTTTTATTTTAAATAAGTGAAAATATATATATATTTTTGCTTGCACAAATATTTTAGCCCTATCCAAAAATTTACTGTTGAAATTTAAAATATATTGGATCATTATCAGTATGTATTGGATCAATAGTCAAGTAAGGTCTGGGCTTATAATGGGCCTACGTGCCTCTGCCTGCGTTTTGAGTCTTTCTTGTTTTCTTGCCTCATTCTTGATGGCTATTTAAAGCCCATGAGGAAAGCAATCAAGCTGTGGTGTAATGAGAAAACTTTTCTGAAATGAATTATTCAGTTGAAGCATGAATTTCTACATGGTACCAAAGTCGGGTTCGTAACCCGACCCGATCATTTTTTTTCT